ATGTTTCAACACCATATCGTTTCTTCGCGAAGATGTGAGAATAAGGAGTTGTTAAGAATGTGAAAGACTTCTTGTGTATTGTAAGTTGACATGTTGGATTGTTATATGGTTGTGAGTTCTCATAAGGATGATACCAAGAAAACATTGAACCAGTAACACCAAGTGCATGACAAATTTCATGAATTAAAACTTGGAAGTACCAACGTTGCCATGTTGACTCACTTTGTGTATTATCTGGAATTTTCTTTGTATTTAAGTATATAATTCCACTAATTGGACGCTTGTATGTTCTTTCATAACCAGTTGGACCAGCCATTGCAAGAGGACTATCACCACCGAAATTCTTAAGAACGACTGGTAATATTAAATCATAGCCTGTATAACTTTTCAATGGAGAATACGTAAAAGTATATGAACCAGCCGAATCCATAGTAATCGATCCTGTAACGGGTATCACTTTGAGTAACTTCTCTATATATATTCTAACATTATCCAATGTCCTTAAAAGATTCGCTCTTCGTGAAGCATTTAAAAAATCATCTTCCGTACATAGATGTGTCCCACGCTCCCATGAAATTGTTTGCCCAACGGTCTTACATTTAAATTCATCATCGAGTTCCCATGTGATAAAGTCTGTGACGATTTTAATACGAATGTTTCGCCATGAAGATTCTGTTAATTTTCTCTTTTGATGCTTTATTGAAGCAAGATCTATTTTGGGAACAAGCCAGTACTCATTTTCATTATGCATACATTGAAATGCGTGTGAATTCGCTAGAACAAACAAGAAAAACATTTGAAAAAAATTGAAATAATTGATTTAATTGAATAATTTCAATTAAACTTCAAAAAATAATCATTCAATTATTCTTGATAATTTGTCAATTAAATATATTATTGATTTGTGTTATAATTTGTTTATTTTTAAATTTCAATTATCCGATAAAAATGACAATTTTTAATGGTTAATTATATATCATCTTTACATATTGCAAAAGAAGTAATATAAGTATTTACTTAAGGGTTTCGTTTTGCGAAAAAAACGTACAATACGCAATTTCGCTAAAAAAACATTTAGCTAGCAATTTCGACCTTTGACTCCACTCAAGACGTCACTTTTTTAATTTTGCGGTATCATATTTTTGGAAAATCTTTATGAATATTATATAAAAAGTCTCTTTAATATCTATATTTCATATTTTTATCGATTTTTAAAGTTTTGGCGAAAAGTATTCAATTATTTTTGCTATTTGGTCGGGTAAATGTCAGATTTGCGACATTTTCTGATATGATATTCAGATTCTACGTTGATAATAATGCTTATAGAACCCTCTTGCTATTGTGTCAAAATTGCGAAACCGATAGCAAAAATATCTCGCAATATCAAAATTGAGATATTGAGTGAATTATGCATTATAGAGATTAAAAATCTGATTTGTGAAAACATCTCATCAGTTTCTAGCTAATTCAAAAATCTTTACTATCTTATTCGATTAAAATGAAAAGGGAATAGTTTCATTATGCTTTAAATGACAGCCTTATAATATAATCATAGTTTTTGCTCAATATGCAGCATTTTTTTTTCGAAATCTATGGTCAATGTCCTAAATACTGATTGCTTTGCATTCATATCTCTTACATTTTCTATACCCACATCACTATTCATTGCTATTCCTATCTTTTCATTTTGTTTGTTTCTCATAATTTCTCAAAAAACATGATAACTTGATATTTGTAAATATCATACTTTATAACGTAAATAAGAACTTGACCTATTAAGAAAAGCAGTAATGAAAAGAAAATCTGAAATTCATAAAAATTACAAGTTTCTGATGACAATTAGCTTAATTAAACCAGGTACAAGATTATATAATTGTATTTTCTATCCAATTATCCATATAATATCTTATCCAGAAAAAAAACTTGATCAATACCAAATGATTTTTTAACTAGTAAATAAAGTATTTTCTTTACACACACATTGTATATCATAGTTTTTTTTTTTTTTGGTTTCGCAAAACATCCAAAAACAAATATGCTATAAAAGTGACAATTTTAGCAAAACGAAACCCTTATTCTATATGCATTATTATCAACGTAGAATCCGAATATCATATCAGAAAATGTCGCAAATCTGACATTTACCCGACCAAATAGCAAAAATAATTGAATACTTTTCGCCAAAACTTTAAAAATCGATAAAAATATGAAATATAGATATTAAAGAGACTTTTTATATAATATTCATAAAGATTTTCCAAAAATATGATACCGCAAAATTAAAAAAGTGACGTCTTGAGTGGAGTCAAAGGTCGAAATTGCTAGCTAAATGTTTTTTTAGCGAAATTGCGTATTGTACGTTTTTTTCGCAAAACGAAACCCTTATGGTATAAATTAAACACCCATATAATACAATAATTGGTAACAAATAATGGTTTTCATTTTTAAGATTAAATGAAGACGAAAAATGATGCTGAAATAGTGAAGTACTTCACATGTACCTTTTAATCTGTATTCGATATTATATAGCATGAATGGTTAACACTAATCAATCAACCGTGTGAATTTCTTTACATTATTTCTTTACATAGCGTAAATCATTAAATAATATAACTTATGTGAGCAATCTTGCTATTTGCGTCCAGATCTCGTGTAGAATCTAATTATGAAAATAATTTTATTTTTAACATTGAAACATTTAAATTTATCAAGAAGATATCAAAGTATACAGATGGATTAATGAAAAAATATTATATAAAGAACATTTTAATGTGATTAGTTTATTGAACCTAAAAGGAATATTAGGTGCGTGTGTTAAATGAAAGATAGAGTTATTAATATTTTCTGATTAATCAAGGAATTTCTAGATGCAAATAACATATGTGTTCACATAAAATCACAAATTACAAACAAACTTAAGCATGTATGAGATTTTTCGATAAAATATTTGCAATTTGATATAAATCGTAAGTCGTCTTTGAACTTCTTGTTAATTAAATGAAACAACACTTTAAAAATACTGAGTGCGCTGCTACTTGAAACTTTTTGTTACTTAGAGCCATCATTTTTGTGCTGTCATTCTTTAAAAAATGCATCTCTATCGTATGGAAAATTTTATGGAAAAATTGGATTAAATATTAGTATTGGCATAATATATAAAATTTGATCATGCGGTTTTGTAATCTTTTGAAAACCTTGATGTATAAAATTTATTAATCATTCAAAATAAGGGTTTCGTTTTGCGAAAAAAACGTACAATACGCAATTTCGCTAAAAAAACATTTAGCTAGCAATTTCGACCTTTGACTCCACTCAAGACGTCACTTTTTTAATTTTGCGGTATCATATTTTTGGAAAATCTTTATGAATATTATATAAAAAGTCTCTTTAATATCTATATTTCATATTTTTATCGATTTTTAAAGTTTTGGCGAAAAGTATTCAATTATTTTTGCTATTTGGTCGGGTAAATGTCAGATTTGCGACATTTTCTGATATGATATTCAGATTCTACGTTGATAATAATGCTTATAGAACCCTCTTGCTATTGTGTCAAAATTGCGAAACCGATAGCAAAAATATCTCGCAATATCAAAATTGAGATATTGAGTGAATTATGCATTATAGAGATTAAAAATCTGATTTGTGAAAACATCTCATCAGTTTCTAGCTAATTCAAAAATCTTTACTATCTTATTCGATTAAAATGAAAAGGGAATAGTTTCATTATGCTTTAAATGACAGCCTTATAATATAATCATAGTTTTTGCTCAATATGCAGCATTTTTTTTTCGAAATCTATGGTCAATGTCCTAAATACTGATTGCTTTGCATTCATATCTCTTACATTTTCTATACCCACATCACTATTCATTGCTATTCCTATCTTTTTCATTTTTGTTTGTTTCTCATAATTTCTCAAAAAGCATGATAACTTGATATTTGTAAATATCATACTTTATAACGTAAATAAGAACTTGACCTATTAAGAAAAGCAGTAATGAAAAGAAAATCTGAAATTCATAAAAATTACAAGTTTCTGATGACAATTAGCTTAATTAAACCAGGTACAAGATTATATAATTGTATTTTCTATCCAATTATCCATATAATATCTTATCCAGAAAAAATAACTTGATCAATACCAAATGATTTTTTAACTAGTAAATAAAGTATTTTCTTTACACACACATTGTATATCATAGTTTTTTTTTGGTTTCGCAAAACATCCAAAAACAAATATGCTATAAAAGTGACAATTTTAGCAAAACGAAACCCTTAATTTACTCCAATGATTAAAGAAAAAATAAAAAGAATGATATCAATTTTTTTATTCATGAATTACATCCAAAAAAGAATCATAAATAAGCACAATATCTTATAAGCTTTAATATTTTAGCATCGTTAAAATCTTCTTGTTTTCAAAATTGATTGACCAAAAATGTAAGTATAACCAATTTCTATTATATAATCCTTCTATAAAATATTAATAAACTTTGTTTCACAATTCTTTTGTCCAGATTATTAGTTTTCAAGCAAATTTTAATTCAAAACACATTGATATCACAATATCATGAAATCATTACATATCAATAAATTTTACAAACATTGTTTAGAGCAATATACTATAAAAATTAAAATTTAGAGACTTTCATTAGTCGTTCATAAAAAATTTTGTAATCTCTAATTTTCGGTTTTTTCCTGGAGATAGATTTGTTTTCATTCAGTGAAAATATACTAATTCTATGCATGAGTCCATGCGAGTATATATAGCTACAATCTTTTTTAGATTGAGAGATAGAAGCACTTAAACCAAACCAAAATTGAAGACTTAAAATTTTTATTCTTTAAACGCTCCGATAATATCAACATATCTTTATTCTAATGGCAAAAGAGTATAATAGCCATGTTAGGAACTAAGCAGAGATTTATAAAATATTAACTTTTTATTATAGAAAATTGGGAGATAAAGCTTGCATGTCAAAAAAAAATTATTAAATTTATACTAAGAAATCCTTATTAATTTTGTCATCGCTTGCTGTTTCCTTACTGCCTTTGGCTTTGCAAACAATAATAGTGACAATAAGGGCGATAATAACAACTACACCGATAATGACGCCAACGATGATCCACACCTTAGATGAGATTCCTTTCTTTCCATTATTTGATTTGGAGTCATTGTTGCCTGATTCACCTGATCCATTTGTGCTTGATGTTGAGTCTCCTGAAGATTGTGTATTCGGTGTTGGCTTTGGTGTTGGAGTTGGTGTTTTATATGGATCTTGAAGTTGGACTGAATTTGGATCGAATGGATCAGCAACAAAATTCATTTCATGAAGTTTAACTGTTCTGCAGAATATTTCTGGATGGACACAATATGCTGCTCTTAACACATAACCATAGCTGGCAGGAATATAATAATAGAATGCTTGACCGACATTGCTCTTATTGCATGTGATTGTGGTTGTTTTTTCAAATGTAGTTACATTCATCGTGTAACTATCATATTTGTTGCATTTATATGTTCCACAAACATCGTATACATTTCCATACTCAGATGCTCCAGGTAAAATTGCTTGACCATCTGGGCAACTATTGGAAGGATATGTTACATTGATGAAGTCAAAAATATATTTGTTGTATTGAAAATCTGCTTTCAACGGATTATAAAACTCATAACGTGCTGGACCACAATATTGTTGATAGTTAATGAATTGGCTTGGACATGAAATTTCAGAATCAGCTTTTAATGGAAGCCAACTTCCCCATGTCTTGAAGTTGAAGCCTGTGGCACCAAGATTGTCACCATTTGGTTTCTTCATGTAGTGATCGGGGAAAACTTTAGATGGAGGACCTGTTGCAAAGTCATTGATTGGTTGGCCACCAATTGTTGATTCTGGATTACCCCAAACAAGTGGTTGTGCATATCTCCAATCACACTTGTAATTTCCTGTATCTTGTAATATTGCCATCACTGCATCTGTAAGTCTCTCAAATGGACCTGATGCATCAGACATCGAACTTCCTGTCATTAACTCTGAATAGAAAGCACGTCCTTCAAGGTGGGAACCGGCTGTTCCGTAACCGCCACCGTCTTCAATTTCGATACCTGATGGACAACTGTGAGTTCCATTTGAGAATGTTTCAACACCATATCGTTTCTTCGCGAAGATGTGAGAATAAGGAGTTGTTAAGAATGTGAAAGACTTCTTGTGTATTGTAAGTTGACATGTTGGATTGTTATATGGTTGTGAGTTCTCATAAGGATGATACCAAGAAAACATTGAATCAGTAACACCAAGTGCATGACAAATTTCATGAATTAAAACTTGGAAGAACCAACGTTGCCATGTTGATTCGCTTTGAGTATTGTCTGGTATTTGCTTCGTATTTAAGTATACAATGCCACTGATTGGACGACTATAGACAGAATCATAATCAGTAGGGCCAGCCATTGCAAGAGGACTATCACTACCGAAATTCCTAAGAACAACTGGTAATATTAAATCATAGCCTGTATAACTTTTCTTTGGAGAGTATGTAAAAGAGTTCGATGAAGAAGTCTCCATTGTAATTGGGCCTGAAACAGGTATTACTTTAAGCAACTTCTCTAAATATATTCTAACATTATCCAATGTCCTTAAAAGATTCGCTTTTCGTGACGCATTTAAAAAATCTTCTTCTGTACATGTAATTGTGCCGTATCTCCATGAAATTTGTTGTCCGATACTTTTACATTTAAGATCATCATCGAGTTCACCTGTGATGAAATCTGTAACAATTTTAATACGAATGTTTTGCCATGAAGATTCTTGCAATTTTCTCTTTTGATGCTTTATTGAAGAAGGATCTATTTTTGGAACGAGCCAATCTTCATTCTCATTATGCATGCATCTAAATTCATGAGAATTGGCTAAAAAAAGCAACAAAAACATTATAAAATTGAATTTGTTGCATACCTTCAAAAAATGCGGAAGTGTTATGGCTTGTTCAATTCAATATATTAAACAATATTTGCTTGAATATATCGAACAACAATTTTTACAACCTTTGAATTTCAAATGGGATGTATCGTAAATTATATCCGAGTTCATATTAATATTCGATTTCATTAAATTATCTTTTTAGACGAATATCATTCAATTTTTTTGAAGGTAAAAATTTTAATATAAATGGAACAAACAAACCTTTTTTTATAAATTTGCATAATTCAATTGTTCAATTTAAACAAAAAATTGTATTTATGATAATCGGTTGTTGATTAAATAGTAAATTTACTATATTGGTATACAAATTATTAAAAATTAATTGATCGTTGTCATAAAAGTTACATTCTGTCAAATCAGTCACTCTTGTCTTGACGATGTGCTATTGATAAGTACATCTCACTTCCTTACGCAGTCAGCAACTATGTAGTATAGTATTTTTAATCACATTTCACTTATTTTTTCTCTCTTATTCATTTAAATTTAATGTTCATTTGAAATCATTATTTTGTCGATATAGTTTATGTAGTGCATACCTTTGGGCAAATAGTTAGAAATTTTCTTAATCTTAAAACATTATTTTATCATAAGTTGAGTTAAATGTTATATACCATATAATTAGACATATAACCAACATTTCAAATGAAAATTATTAATTTTATCTCTATGTAGTGTAGTTCAATGCATAAATCGGATTTGTTCAAAGTGATTAATATGATTCCTGCAAACGTTTGCTTGGACATGAATTTTCAGAGTCTTTCATAAGAGCTGGTGAAGACTCCCATGTCTTGAAGTCAAAACCTGATTCACCAAGATTGTCACCGGTTGGTTTCTTCATGTAATGAGATGGAAAAACTCGAGATGGATATTTTGTTTTGACATAAATAATTGATATTTTATTATAAATCATAATTCATTTTAGTTAACGCATCATAAATTAAATAAAAGGTCAAAAAAAGATAATTCAAACAAATAAATCTTGATCATGATCACTGGACGTCTCTTTACTACCTTTGACCTTGCACACAATAATGGTTACAATAAGGATTATCAGAATAACAGCCCCAACCGATGCACCAATGATGATCCACATCTTGGTTGAGAGTCCTTTCTTACCTGAATCTGACTTAGAATCATCGGATTCACTTGGTTCATTTGGATCAGGTGTTGGTTCTATTTGGGAGCTCAGCGCAGGTGTATTTGGTGTTGGAGATGGCGTTTTATATGGATCTTGAAGTTGGACTGTGTTTGGATCGAATGGATCTGCAACAAAATTCATTTCATTAAGTTTAACTGATCTGCAGAATATTTCTGGATGAACACAATATGCTGTTCTTGGATATGAAATAAATGAGGAAGGCACTTCGTAAGAAAAAGCTGCACCAACATTGCTCTTATTACATTCTATAATAGTTGTTTTTCCGAGAGTTGTTACGTTCAGTGTAAAGCTATCATATTTATTACATTTGTATGGAGCACATAATTCAAAAACATTGCTAAATTGAGTGGCTCCAGGCAAAATTGCTTGACCATCAGGACAGCTATCTTGGGGATATGCAACATTTATATAGTCATAAAGATATCTCTTTGCAGGCAAATCAGCTTTTGATGGATTATAAAATTCATAACGAGCCGGACCACAATATTGCTGATATTTAATGTCATTACTTGGACATGAAATCTCAGAGTCTTTCACAACACTCGACGAACTCCCCCATGTTTTGAAGTCAAAACCCGTTCCACCAAGATTGTCACCGGTTGGTTTCTTCATGTAGTGATCGGGGAAAACTTTAGACGGAACACCTGTTGCAAAGTCATTGATTGGTTGGCCACCAATTGTTGATTCTGGATTACCCCAAACAAGTGGTTGTGCATATTTCCAATCACACTTGTAATTTCCTGTATCTTGTAATATTGCCATCACTGCATCTGTAAGTCGTTGAAATGGCCCTGATGCATCAGACATCACAGTTCCCGTCATTAAATCTGAGTAAAAAACACGTCCTTCAAGGTGGAAACCAGATGTGCCTTCACCACCACCGTCTTCAATTTCGATACCTGATGGACAACTGTGAGTTCCATTTGAGAATGTTTCAACACCATATCGTTTCTTCGCGAAGATGTGAGAATAAGGAGTTGTTAAGAATGTGAAAGACTTCTTGTGTATTGTAAGTTGACATGTTGGATTGTTATATGGTTGTGAGTTCTCATAAGGATGATACCAAGAAAACATTGAACCAGTAACACCAAGTGCATGACAAATTTCATGAATTAAAACTTGGAAGAACCAACGTTCCCAAGATGATTCGCTTTGAGTGTTATCTGGAATATCCTTTGTACTTAAGTAGACAATGCCGCTAATTGGACGATTGTAAGTATTTTCATAATCAGTTGGACCAGCCATTGCAAGAGGACTATTATCACCGAAGTTTCTAAGAACAACTGGTAATATCAAGTCATATCCGCTGTAACTTTTCAAAGGTGAGTATGTAAAAGAATCTGATCCTGCTGTCGCCATAGTAATTGATCCGGAAACAGGTATTACTTTGAGTAACTTCTCTAAATATATTCTAACATTATCCAATGTCCTTAAAAGATTCTCTTTTCGTGACGCATTTAAAAAATCTTCTTCTGTACATTGAGCATCACCATATCTCCATTTAATTGCTTGTCCGACACTTTTACATTTGAGTTTATCATCGAGTTCACCTGTGATGAAATCTGTAACAATTTTAATACGAATGTTTTGCCATGAAGATTCTTGCAATTTTCTCTTTTGATGCTTGATTGAAGCAGGATCTATTTTTGGAACAAGCCAATCTTCATTTTCATTGTGCATACATCTAAATTCACGAGCACTAGCAAAAACAAGCAACAAAAACATTTGAAAAGACAAAATATTGAAAACTTTGAATAAATTGAATGCTACAATATTTCATCAAATCAAAATCAATTGAACTATTCACCTTATCAAACTACATTTTTATTTTTCCAATAATAACGGTTCGTAAATTCTGATCATCGTTCAATCAAAAGCTGGCTTTGCTATTTATGGCTCTCATTTATGACATTGTTTCTGGTCTAACTAAACCGGGTATATGCATCTACATTATGTTTCAATATTGAAAATTTATCCATCTTGAATGTTCAAATTCAATAACGTAATAGATTTTGGTTAGATATAATATTAATGTGTAGAGTTAAATAGATTTTACTATATAAATAAGCTAATATTTAACATTTTATTTAATAAAAATTAATAATTTTGAAAATCGATGAAGTACAAAACATAAAACTATATAAATATTAAATACATATTGTATTATAGTATCCTTGCGTGATTCCTTAAGGATTGGATTGTGATGTTGGTATTTCTTTAATTGACCAGTTTTTAATGTCAAAACTGAAGAACCCTTCGCGTTTTTGTATTGACCACATCATTGTTTTGGAGGAATATTTCCATCCCCGCTTAATTAATTCTTGTGCTGCAATTTCTTGAACAATATCATGCGGTTGAGCATAAAACATAAAGAATAGAGTTTCATCGGGCATTTTTGGTATGACAGAAGCTATGGGTGAAACGTTAATAAAATCAAGCCAATCTTTCGGAGTTTTTGATGGATCTAGGATAGCGAAAGCATTATCTGAAAAAAAGGATCTTCCATCAAACGTTGAATTTTCCGGAATACCAAGTACTTGTCGCTCAATTCCGATTTGAGCCATTTTTTGTTCAGGTGGTAACGATCTGATTTCATTAATAAAATCTTTTATTGTAGGTCCTCTATTGACATCATCTAGCTTATCTGTAACCCTACTGGAAGGTGCGCTTCCCGATCTAATGATCATTTCAGAAATTTATCAATATTGAGACCCCTTCTTTTGGCTTAATCGCCCCCTAAATTTAGAATGATCTCCCAAATTTCTATTTATTTGGTTCAGATAATTCTAATATTGAAAAATAAAACCAAAAATTTGTTATCAGAGAAATCAATATCCGCCAAAATTGAGTATGAACCAAAAATAACTATAAAACGCATTCTACACAAGGAATAGGATGCAATGGTGAAAATTTTGAATAATGCTTTGATTTCAGAAGGATGTTTAAAATTTTTATGTCATCACCGTGGAATGCGAATACAGATTATTATGAGATTCTAGGAGTTGAAGAAAACGCAAAATTAGACAGTATAAAGCAAGCCTATAACGAAAGAACCACTAAACTACTCAAATTAATGACAAGCGCTAATCAATCTGAAACTAAACACTTATTACACTTAATTGAGCATGCATATTCTATACTTTCTGATAGTAGGGAACGTGATTGGTATAATTCTCATCGAGTTTACAATTTTAACGGAATCAAAGATTTACTTCAAACTAAAGTTGATATATTCAGATTGTTTAAAGCTGACGCATATGATGGATATGGTAATGATCCCAATGGCTTCTATGCTGTATTTGACAATGCATTTTCAACAATTGCTACTGAAGAAGGCATTTCAGCTCCATCTTTTGGAATATCTATTACACCATATGAGGATGTTGATAAGTTCTATGCTTTTTGGACATGCTTTAACACAAAGCGAAATTTAACTTTACAATGTTTGACTGCGCAGAATGATGCAGAAACAACATGGGCAACATTTCAGAACGTACTAAGAGAATTTATCGCAACTGTTCGCTATTTAGCGACATTTGCAAGAAAAAGAGATCCAAGAGTTATAAATGAAATTAAAAAACGTCAAGAATTACCCAGAAACTCCAGTATTACAGTCCAACAGCCTGTATCTACTGAGGGGCAGCAAGAAAACAACGAAAGCGAGTTAGATGTTCAAAAAGAAATGAAGCTCAAAGAATTTTTATTAGAATACGCAGCTATACAGATCAAACATTCGAAGGTTGTAGATTTAAATAAAATTACGGAAAAAGTTAAAAATTCGCCTTACAAAGCTTACACTTTTCTTCGTTGTATTAACGAAAATAAGAATATTTCTTCCAAAGGACTCCAAGGATTTAAAGAATCAATCAAATTTTTCGGGGAATCCGATCTTCAAATTCCGATGAAAATTTACAAAGCTGATAACCAAGAATCACCACGCCAATTTGTCCATTTCAAGATAAATCGCAATCCTAACTGCATAGATCAGTTCTGCCAAAAGCTTGGAAACTCAATTTCCCCACTCGATGTCATAACCGCTGCCCATCGTCTTCAAAAGATCGACAATGAGGAGAAAGATGAATATCTTAAGTATTTAGACTACAGGAGCAAGGATACACAGATCCGAGTCTATTCTTTCATCTCAAATCCATTGACACATGGCCATTTAATAAAAAACATGAAAACTATTGGTTCATACGCGAAACAGTATCATCCAATAGGCATGGCTCCGTCGTCATTCTGCGACGAAATGGCCAAATCAGTATTGAACAACAGCTACATAACAGTTGACCAGTCAACAAACGAAAAAGATGGTAAAAAAGTTCATATCATCAATCAAGTATCAACACAACTTGAAGTCGTAGAAGATGACCATGCAGACTTCGATGTGAAATGCACGAGAAATGAGAATGTTATCAAAAGACTCAATGAATACGGAGAATCGTATTTTTACACATCTCCTGATTTCACGAAAGAATTGATTGAAACGTTTGGGCCAAAAGGATGTTTGATAACTAAATTCTGCAAGATCAATTGGGATATATCATTCAAGTTCTTGTTGAAGTTTTTAGTCAAAAGATACAAAAGATTACAAATTGGAAGACTTCTTTCGAAACCAGAATGGTCAAGAACTCTTGAAACTTATCTTCCTGTTTCAAGGGCAAGTTTCTCTAAGATTCCAAACAAGCTTGTTGACTATCACAGGTTCTCTTTCATTCCTTTACCATTGAAGTTTAATGTTGAGAATGTAGCTTATTTGGTTGATTTGTTTGAGCGTTTTTATGCATCATATTTGTTTATCAAAGAAACGATGTGTGAAAAGGAAGTTTTCACAAACGCTGTTGCTGTTTTGAGATCAAATGATGTTGTTTATAACATGACGTATTCCGAAGCACAGTTAGTTACATCTCTTGCAATTCTTGCAAAGAGAATGGACAACATCAGATCGACATCAAATGAAACAAGCAAATCCAGAAAACTTGCAATCGAAATCGGAATAACTGATAATCAAATGAATACTGCAACAAGAGTTAATGAAATGATCCATGAATTGATCATCAACAGGAAACTCCAGATCAAACAAGCTGTTCCACAAATCGCTGGTTTGTTGGATGAAGTCAACAACAAAGCTGTGAAAGAAATGTTGACAATTGTTTTGATCTGCATCAGAGCAATGAAATTCGTTTCTGCAAATAAAAGCAAAGAAGGAGAAATTGTTCAGATGAGTTGCAATGATGGATTGCTCAGAATGTGGATCAAAGGATCCAATGGATATTTCCCAACTTGCGCTGTAGATTTGGAAAGATACAAATCAACAAAAGGTATCTTGGATATTTAACTGTTTATTTTTGTTGTTTAATCATTTTCCTTGTATTTTTATTATATTATTTTCTTTGTTTTAATATAAAAAGACTTTTAGATTCCTTCTATAATATATTAATACCAATGTATCCATCCAAAAAAAATAATTATAAATAATATTTTGATAAAAATCATGAGTTTATGCCACTATTACTCATGTTAAGATAGAAAATTGGCCAAAATGATACTAATTTGATCACATTACTCTAGGAATCCATGTATCTACCACGTAAATAAAGATAAATGTAAATTTATCCAATATGAATGCTTGATTTGCTATTTAATGCAGAAGATTTGACAATTGGGCTATGATACATAAGGGTTTGGAATAATTTTTTTAATCAAAATAAAAATATGTTAAATATAATAATTTGATTCAATGATAAAATAAGCATTTGAATATAACAGTAGAATAAATAACAAATTTTATTAGAACACCAAATAAATAAAAAAAAAAATTATCTATTATTCTTAGAAGATTGTGTAAAATCTGGGTGATGAGTAACAACTTTCCAAGTACAGTAAAGGGTATCATCAGGATCATCATTATCGAAAAATTTAATAATTTGAAGTGGACAGTTGTCGAAATTCCTTATATTATCTACTTGGATGCATACAAATTTTGAATTATCTATAGTGCATATCCTACCATCGCGTAATAATTTCCATTGCTGAGAATCTTTTTGTCTTTCATCGAGATTGATCTGCTTTAAAATTAAATTATCATCTTCGATCGTCCAGCAATCACCAGTATATAATGATACTATTCTTCCTTCTTTCCATGTCCATAGATATTTCGGATCTCGTTCTGGATTTGAAGTTAATACAACTGATGTAAATGAAATTGGTTTATCCATAGCAGCTGAAGGGATAACATATGAAGGAACATCATCGATGTCAACTTGTAAATAGAAGTTAAACATCTCAAAAATTTTGCGATATCGCTAATAAACGTCACTTTTTTGAGAATTTCTAAACTAAAAGATTTACCAATTCATTCATCCTACTTTATATGCTGCTAAAATACCGTGCACATACCATCTTACGATTGACTGGCAGATATCATTTCTATTTTGTCATGTAATTATGATAAAAATTAAAATTTCTTTTTCTATCTTACTTTTAATATGCAAAATTAAGAGCGTGTGTAATGTTAGTTCATGTTACTGTTAAAACTAGTTAATACAAATTAACTACAATCAGAGTTACGTTGTTTCATATTATATGCCTTGTAAAATGAAGAAAATACAAACTATATCTTGTTTATAGAAAAACCTCTATTATACCTTGTAAAATATGAATCAATATGAAGAAGATTGCAATCCAGACAAATTTAAATTTGAAATTGATAATAAATAAACCATTTTTGCGCTATACCCATAACCAGATTGATAATTTTATTCGTTTTTATAATGTTGAATAATAATATGATTATGAATACACTTAGCGTATCGAAATCTATTTAAATCTGATAATAAAACTACTATATGTTGAGTTTATTACCATATAATGAGAATAATCCAATAAGTTTGGACTACATAATATAGAATAATAGATTATATCAAGTAAACTCGAATAATACATTAAAAAATCTCAAAAAAACTAAGATGAGTGAAATATCTAAGAGTCTGCCTTTGGAAAAGGGTAAAACTCTTAAATACGTACTCTTTGAAACCAATTAGATATTGAGCTCGATGATATTTCTTTATGACAGTATATATTTCCATACTGAAGGCATCATTTTTTTTCATTTTCAATAAAACCGCTTTGGATATTTGCTCACTTCTTGAGGATCATGAAATACTAAAAAGAGAGTATTTTAAATATCGGAATTCATCGAGATGCATCATTCAACTCTTATATATACTAACTAGAAATTGTAAATACGCAATTTTTTTGCATTCATGATAATAGAAACAGAAATAATAGCTTACAAGACATTTTATGCAAATTACAATTGGAATATCTCTTTATTATTTAATAAATTTAGCCAAATTAGAAGATTTCAGGAACAGCATAAGATTTCTTCCTTCTATTTGATTTTAGTAATATTCATTTGTGTTTTAAATGCTGAGCTTATGCTTATATTGAATATAGCTGATGTTTTTAAAGGATATTGAAATTCTTCGAAATATAGCGGATCCTTTCATATTCTAATTCTTACAATGGCATTTTAATAAATAATGGCATGCGATTTTTATCACATCCTTAAGAAATGACATGGTAATCTCTCACAATAAATTCGAAAGAATAAGAAACAATCAAATATAGAATTTGTATTCTTCTGTGAAACTAATGGGAATATTTTTGATTATTATTGTCAAATATTTGGGACAGTCCAATAATAATTCGAAAACCCGGAAGGGAATCGGTGGATAACAAAGCCAGTTGTCTCACGCACATGAATTTTCTATCTACTCCCCCAATTACAATTGATGATTACGCTTAGAAAGCAATATCAGAAATACGAGAATTCTGAAAATATTGGAAATCCGTTCTTAATTTAAGTTAGAAATATGTTTTTAAAGTCAGTAAGCCTATAGGTTCCTTTCATTTCTCAGAACAAATTGCAAAATTTTTAAGAAACAGTTGCCATAAAAGTTTGTTTTTAGAGGCAGGGCAACGATAGAAAATTTTTGGAAAAAAAGTTCGGAGATCTTAAACGTATCATATTCCCTGCATGGTTTGGTATCTTCCGCCATGCGTTGTGCCAAACATATTGACACTTTCCAATAATTAATTTATGGTATGAGTCACAGAGTTAGATTATAAAAAGAAAGTAAATAATTGCAATTAGAAATCATATATGTCGGAAATCAAATGTTGATGAGCAGAAACCTTTTACTCATCATAAAAGAGATAAATCACTAAAGATTTGTATACATTAAAATTTGATATTTGGTGCTCGAAAACTGTCTGATGGGACTCCTCCAAAATGAACCAATTTATCGCTGAGGACCAAATTAGATGATGTGGATGGTGTATTCTCTAATTCTAACTTAGGAAGAATGGGAACAAAACGAATGACGACAACAACATGTCAAACATAGATTAAATATCTATGAATCAATAAAGTATACGTGCATTGAAGGTGATAACGATCACTTGAGGCTTATAACTCTTTGACTAAATTATGCAATAATTAAATATAATCATTTTTATATTTTTATACTGATAGTAATTAATATACTATCCTGCTTAATAAATGGTATGATCAAATTTGTTTGAAAATTTAATTATGTATATGAAACTATGTCTTCTATATAAAAATCAAAATTTTCGGACGAACCTAGATTGAACCTTTATGAAAATCTATCATTTTTGTTAATTGAGTTAATATGAATCTTTTACATATGTATATATAGCATTGATAGCTTATATAATCATGGTTTATTCCATATTAACATATTTTTCAGTTAAATTTGTTAATAATCATGTAACAAATTAATTCAAGATTAGAATGTCGACAAAATGCTAACAAATAAGAACAAAATACGATTTCTCGACTTAAATTTTAATATGGAGTAGTTTTTCGTTTAAATCTAATTAAAAATGAATAAAAACTTATCTTGTACTATTTTCATTCAAAGATTTTAATAATGTAAATCATGCATTTTCGTAATTCAGTACAGTTCTTTTTAGAATTAAAGTTGATGAGGATGATATTTGTGATTTAAAATAATTTGTTAATGTTCACCTTTTATTCATCACCTTGTGGTATGCCCTAAAGCAATAGCATTATCAATTCTGCTGAATTGATCAACTCAAAATTCCAAAAAAAATTCAAAATTTCAAAAATGAAATTAAACAATTTAAATTTTCACATGAAAAAATCAATTTCGAAAAAATTTGGAAAATCAAAGTATTTGATAATTAGTCAAATAATCAATTTACATCGTTTTTACTCATAAAAAACAACTAATTTTTGATTTTGATATCATATTTGATAAATACTCATTCCAGAGTTGACGTAATGTATTAATTATTGTTAGAGATATTGCTTTCGCAGCAAAATTCTTATTTCATGAAAGAAAAAAAAAATGATTTTATTCCAACAAAAACAAGTAAACAGATGAATGGAAACGTACTATATTTTCATAAATGTAGTAATCAGCGTGTCAGCTTTTGTTTATCATGTTCGAGTCAAAATGTATTAACTTGTAATAAGAAATATTCGAAGATTATATGAAGTATTGAGCATTCTTTGTAGAAATATTTGTAATTCATTACTAACATATATAATAAAGTTGTTTTTTTTCCTTATTGCAATAATTTTGTCTGATTTTAATAACTTTTCATGTATACGAGTTGTGTGAATATGCATCATAATATGCGTAAATATACTTATTTGCGACGAATAATGTGGTTGCATAATGGAGGTGCTAAATTTTGATTTTTAATATGGGGCTTTGGTATGTATAATCATGTTCTTATCTCAACGTAGGAGTATTGGTGCAATATGATTAAAATTTACGAGGTTGATCTTAAATTGAATAATTCTGGAGTATAAATCACAATGCAGCTAATTCTATGTTAAAGATAGATACAGATTGTAGTAATCAATTAGGGAGTACAAATTCATTCTTTCATTTCTGTCGTATTGAGCAGAAAGGAAGAGATCATAACCCTAGGAAAAAAAGCCCAAATTTGTCACTTTTCATAGTACGTTAAACTCAATTCGCTCGGCGAATGCCGAGCACACGTACTCATCATTCAACATAATATTCTCATTCTTTGGTTATTATAGTGCCAGACAACACAAGATTTCAAAGAATTACTTGAGTTTTCAATTAATCTTAATCCGATTTTAGATTTATCGAGAACTCCATCATCACAATCACATACTTCAGTGCGGTAACTACAATTATCCATATACAGAAGGAAGTTCTTTTCGAACAACTCATTTGGAGTCTGTTTTGGAAAGAACTTCTTTCTGTCCGACTTAATTTCATAGTTCCTGATCAACCAAAAGACAGAAACCACACACTATCTACTTAGGAAAGGAGTTCTTTCTAAATCTTCCTTAAATTGAGATTTTACGAGAGATAACCCTTCTATTGCACTTAAAAATGAACATTTTGATATCTTTAGTATCACACATGGTCATATATAGTATTTCATCTACATGAATACATTCATCTTTCGAAGTCTCTCATTAAATGGGAGGCTTCGAAAGATGAATCGTTTTATTCATACAACTTTAAATCTCGAACACATTTAGAGAGTGAGTATATCATTTTATTCTTGTTTTGAGTTTATTCTGATTCAAAATTGCAGTGGAAACAGAAGTTCACACATCATATCTGAATGTGAGCTCATCTATACTTATACGATCTCAATACCTCCACTCTAAGCATAAGAGGTGAAGTTATATAAAAATTATCAGATGCGTTGAAGTCTCAAAAGTATTGCCTGAATGCTTGTTTCATATTTGTCCAAGTAGTTTCAATGAATAAATGTATTGTTTTTTATAATTTCGATTTATTTTTAGAAAATATTCAATATAAACCTTTATTGTGTTATTTACATCTCATAAATTCCCTGTCTAAATCATATAAAAGCGCGTTTTACCCCTATGAATCAAGAAATTCATTCAATATTCATGGTATATTTATTAAATTTATACGATTTACTAATAATCAATATTATATCCTCATAAATAGCAATATATTTTGGTAATCTATGATAATCATATACAATATTTGAAATCAAATTTTCATTAGTTTAGGTTCCTTGTTAATAGTAAACCATTATATTTATTACTAATAATAAAATCTATGTGTCGTATTGAAATTCAATAAAATTACTTATTCGGTCCAAAAAAACAAATTATATAAAATTTTTCTTTTTTTATGTAATTTTTGTTTTTCATTTTTCTCAAGATCCTAAGTTATGTTCTAACTTTTGACATCATATCCTATCATGCTAGGCTATATATTATAGCATATCCAAAAGGCAAGGAAATCTATCAGAGAAGCCTTTTTGACCTATCGTTGCCCTACCTCTTTTGTTTTTCCGGCCTCTCAAATTAAGTTCATATCGGCCAAGTTGAAAATTTATTATCTGATAGCTGATCAAATAAATAACTGGCCCATTCCTTTTTCTATTTGCTCTTTCAAAAGTTGATGTCAAAATTAATCAAGCTTTTTGACTGGATTTTTTTTGAAAAAATATTGTCCAACATATAACTAATAGCAATCGACTTTTCAATTTTTCAAAAGGAAGTATAGCACAATAAAAGCTTATACAAATTTTTATGAAAAATTTTTGAACAAATTTTTTTATCATTTATGTTTGATAACCAGCGCTATGAGCAAATCCGAGAAATCTTTCATGGAGAGAATACGGTTGCTGTATGGTGCTGTTCCGACAAAAGGACTGGAAAGAAAGTCGTGATAAAATCTTTCCCAAAAGAAGTAATTGACAATTCATTTTACGAAAATGAATTGCACATCACAGAGTTAGCGCAAGGTGATAACATTATACAATTATTAGACAGATTTGAAACACAAGTTTCATACAATCTCGTTCTCGAGCAAGGAGAATGTGATTTATTCGATTATATCATGAATAATGGCCCAATATCAGAGGCCAAATTCATGAATACATTTGGCGATTTAAGTAAGGCGCTGGAACGCCTTCACCATAGGAACATATTACATAAAGATATCAAGCCGGAAAATATAGTTATTGTAGGAGATTCATATTCATTCATAGACTTTGGACTTAGCGAAATTATGAGTAACGTTAACCAAAACAACGCATTTGTCGGTACGACATTGTTTACCGCTCCTGAAGTAGTTCTTAACAAGAGCTATACACCAGATAGTGATATTTACTCCTTCGGTATAGTGATGTTTTTTGCACTATCAGGAGAATTGCCCTTTGATTGCGAGAATTCATTTCAATATGTTATGAATCAAATCAATACACCACCAGATATGAATGCTTTATGTAATAGACATATTAGCCAACAGATTATATTAGTGATACAGAGAATGTTATCCCCATCACCTAAAGATCGACCATCGATTTCTGAGATTATCAGTACTCTTTGGCCTCAACAAAATGTTACAATCGATAATAATGCTTCTAATCTGTGGGAATAAATTTTATCATGTTATTTAACAAATTAATTTACTTTTTTCTTTTTACTGATAGATCATTTGACTTGCTTTGGGCAAGATACTAGAATCCTTTTGGGTTTAATGTGTTTTGGCCTCAAAATAAAATCTATTGTAAAGGAAATTTCAGACTTGATTAAGTTATAACACTATCAGGAAGTTTTACATTAAGTGTAAATATTAACTTCCGAGATATTTTTGACAATTGTCGGGATTTCTCTCGGAATAGTTTTCTCTCCTTAAATTGGTTTTATTACGAGCACCGTTATTGTATTAAAACAAAGAGCATGAATCCAGAAAATGAAAAACGGTTTTCGAGAAGAATTGAAATTCTAAAAATTAAAAATAGTTAGTTTCTAAATAATATACTTAGACAAGACATTTATTTAGTTCTTTGAAGGAATTGGAATGGTGATGCTCCATCAAGGTCTTTAACTTTGTAATCAGCTCCGTGATTTAACAGGAACTGCATTGCTTCTTTCATCTGATATCTTGCAGCGTAATGTAGTGGTGTATCCAGTTTATAATCATACTGGTTGATATCAGCATCCCACTTCAATAAGTGTTCAATTGATTTGACATTGCCATAAGCAGCCGCAAGATGAATAAACCTCAATCCTTGCATGAAGCTATGGTTAACTAAGTCGGGCCAACGTTCTAAAATCGAATCGATGGTATCGAGTTTGCCGTCTTTAATAGCATCCATTAATAACTTCTTATCATCTTCGCAACTCTGCAGTATTTGCAATGTTGTTTGTCCAGATTTGCTCCTAAGACCTTTTTCGGTATTGTTGTGATACAATAAATCAATTAAATCAGTATTTACACGAACTCCTGCATAATGGATTGGAGCAAAGCCACGCTTATCAAAAGCATTTGGATCTGCACCCTTTTCCAATAGATATTTTGTGAAATCAATTAAAGATAATTTTGCAGCTAAATGTAAAGGAGTTAAATCCTCATCGTTTGTATCGTACACTGTATCTGGGTCTTCCTCAACAAACTTTTTCATTGCTTCGAAGTTGTGCATCGAAATTGCATCAAAAATGTTTTTAATCTTGATTGGCTTCCTGATTTCGTAAGAAGGATGGAGAACTTTAATTGGAATTGGTTTCAAAGGAATATTGAATCCGGCAGCTTCCTCAGGAATTCCTCTTTTGGCTCTGATTTCTTTTTCGATTCTCTCTTGTTCCTTTTCTTGTTTAAGTTCTGCGCTTGACTTACCCTGTCCCACTGAGGCAAGTTTATCATGGATTGTATCAATTTCTTTTTCGATTCTGGTCTCTAATCTGATTTTCATTTCTTTGTTTGATGCTTCGAGTCTGTTCATCTGTATTTTATATTCTTTTTCTGAAATAGGGTTGTTAATTCTCTCTTCGAGCTCGTCACCTCTTTCTTGTAATTTTTTGATTAATGCTTGGTATTCTTGCATTTTGTTTTCGTGTAGTAACTGTGCTGTGTATAATTTCTTCTTAGTTTCAAGTTGAACTTGCTCCATTGCGTTTGAAAAGTCAATATATCCTTGTCTTAAAATTGGAGCTTGTTTTTGTAAGCTTGCGATTTCATTATTGAATTCATTTTGTAAAGATGCAAGTGCTCTCTTCTGTTTAGATTGAATAAGTAAGTAATTTGGTTCGTTTTCAGATAATTCGCCAGGCAATACATTGTTTGTTGGAACCCAGGACTTTTCATCTTTTATCAGGTCCACAATTGCCTTACCTGGAACGCCTTGAGGATACTTCGAAATGGCCGGAGCAAGTTTATCATTATTTTTACGCCAAACATATGCAAAATTCTGAAGAATGAATACAGTTTCCTTTCTTGTAAAATCAATCTTTGTATTTGCTAAAACTTGTTCAATAATATCCATAGGTAATGAATAAAACTCTATAAATCGGATGAAATCATGTGATAAGTCGGTCATTGTTTGAACTGCTTGTGATACATCTTTATTTTCTCGGATAAGATCGTTTAACTTAGTAAAATGACGTTGAAACATAATTTTATTTTGAAACTTTTTTTATTATTTTTATTTGATCATTTTTATGCATTACATTTCGGTTCATCTTTAGGCTTCAGACATGCTGTTGCCTTTCCATAGCAGATTTTTCTTATTAATTGCAATGTTGATCAAAAGATAACTTCGAATGAAAATTCATGAGACCATATCAAATGCACTAGCTAATAAAAGTGCTTACAAAAGGATTTAGTGCAGAGTCGCATCAATATTTTAATGTGTCAATACAGATGATATCAAATCTTTTTGAATCATGGATATTTATTGAAATAAAGGCCTTTTTGAATGTTAAAATCTCAATTTGTTTTTCTCATCTAAAAAGTTTTAAAAGGATTGGTCAATAAGAAATATTATAAAAGATTTGAAATCTTGAATTTTGATTATTTTTAGAAATATTTATTTTTAAAATTCAATTTTAGACGTCAATATTAGTATTACATAAAATACAAATCAGAGAAATATCATAATAATATTCAAAATATCAATATATTCCTTCATATTGTCTATATTCACAATCGATAAATTTTTGATAGAATATATTATGCAAATTAGATTCACTAATTCTCAAAAGATACAATCATATACCATATAATTATAACCGTATTACAATATTTATACATCCAATATTTCCATTAGAATTTCCCTATTTTGGTAATTTTTTCTTTATCTATTTCTTTGATCTTCATGCATGTAGTTCCTACCTTTGGTGTGCTTAAAATACTTTATTCAACTTCCATATCTTTTGATTGTATTTGTTTCATATAATCGTCACCCTTCTATAATTATAGAATTTCACATCTCATTCTTGTGAATAACTAGTCCTTTTTAAATAAATCACCCAAATTAAACGGAAGATCAAGGCTCCTTATAATTTCACTAAGAAAACCAAAGTTAAATAAAAAAGCTATACTATCGAATAGAATAAAAATGTAATTAATTTTGGCTTTGAGTTAGTTCACTAACGAAAAAAATTTTGATAGAAAATTATTTCTTTTCAAAATTTTTATTGCAAAATATCAATCACATTTTCTGTTTCCCGAGTTGAAAACCAAGCATTCCGAAAAAAAATTTTTAGGGCTCAAAATTTTGTCAGACCGCGCTTCCTCAGAAATGAATGTTGCAAAACGCGTCCATAGTATGAAGATAACCCGCTTTAACAGCTCATCAAACGTAGAACCAAAGACCATTAAAAAGATTGGTGATATTCATATTCTTAAAACTATTGGTTCGGGTAGCTTTGGTCGTGTTTATTTAGGGTGCCAAATGGAAACAAAAAAATATTATGCAGTAAAAAGAGCGAGCTACAAAGATTTAAATCATATGTGTAATGGCGTTGGCCAATTAGAGCGCGAAATCAGAATGTTACAAACATTTAACCACAACAACATTCTTAAACTATACGAAGTATACCAAGCAACAGAAAAACCATATGTATATATGATTATGGAGTATGCAGACTGTGGTTGCCTTGAAGATAAAATCGATGGCAGTCCGAGTCCGTACAAATTCGAAGATATTCTATCAATTATCAAACAAGTAGCTGGAGCGTTGACTTATATGCATAGTATGGGTATTGTTCACCAAGATATTAAACCGTCGAATATTTTACTTTGTTCTGATGGGCGAATTTTATTATCAGACTTCGGAATTGGTCATAGATTCCAAAGTGCTGCTATGGTAGTTGGTTCTCCAGCCTATCAAGCCCCAGAAGTTCTTGATGATTATGAAGAAGAGAGTTTTGACTCAGATGGTGAAGCAGAAGACTACGCTGATGGTCCAATCAAAGAAGATGTATGGGCTTTAGGCGTAACTTTTTACCAATTATTATTTAGTAAATTACCTTGGGTTGGCGAGAACCTTTATGAAATAGTTCACTTGATCAAGACAACGCCACTCGTAATCCCCGAAGGAACAGATCCAGAAGTTGTTAAACTTCTTCATATGATGTTAAATAAAGATCCAATGCAAAGAATATCAATGAAGGACTTAACTACATTTCCACTTATAGAGAAAGCTTCAGACAGAGTTAAGTTCACACCACCACCTACAAACATCGAAATGCCATTAATTTTGGACACTATCGAGATATGCGCGAAACAAATAATGCCAGGAGAGCCATTGGTCCCACCTGAGAACTTAGCAAGAGGTTTCGGACTTATCCCTGGAATATATAGGAGTTCACCACTTTATCATTTTTCGAATCCTGATTTATTATTGAATGAATAATTGTTTTGTTAAATTTTTGTTATATTAAATCTGTGCTTTTATAGATTTACCTATTTTTGACTCATTTTTTACAATGTTAAAGTTTTATGTTGGATCAAAATTTTCAAATTTCTACCCAATTTCGGATAATGATGATATGCAAACAATCAAAAATACTGCGGAATATATAATAAAGACAAATTTTGATAAAGAAATCGATTTTTTTCAAGTAAATGATATTTTATTTTCGATAAATCGCTTTAATCAGATATATTTCATTGTACAAGCTATAGGGCTGTCTAACAAGTTAATGAAATACATCGCAAATACGCTCAAAAAAATTGCAATATTTTTATTCGGACCAGAATTTCAAAATTCCATGCTTGATAATATAAGCCAGAGTTATCAAACAGTATTTTCAAATTACATTTCAGCGTATCATGAACTTATTACAGAAAATTCTCGATTTTTGGGAGGAATTATTCCTCATTCAAATAATTACATTTCAAATTGCCAATATATCACCAGAAAATTACCTCCTGATGGAATTCCAGAAGATCTCGAATTCGTTGATTGTATTATTTTTAAGGACGATGAAATTATTGGTAGATTGTCGAAAAATTCCGAATCAAGACTAGATAATTTCGATTTAGTAATGTTAATGATCTTTCACAGAGTAGATTTTCCAGAAAAAGGCGATCCAAACCCAGAATTAATCGAAGTTAATTACGTTACTAATACAGAACCATCTCCTATTCACTATAGAGCAGGATTTCTTAAAGTTAATGGGAAATTACAACGATGCTCAATAGCTGCTGTAAGATTGGGTTTAAATTCTTCATATACTTCTCTTTTTATCACTTTAAATCCAACAGCAAATGAAAAACGTGATTTATCCATGAATATCCTTGGATTGGTTTCCGCAACAATAATGGATCTTGAAAGTCATTCAAAACCAATCAAAATTTCATTACCTCCAACAGCAGTAATGGTTTTGGTCGTCAATAGAACAACAGGAGAAGCAATTGAGATTTCTTCAGCATCAAATGATCGATCAAAAAAAATTTCGGATTTATTATTCAAAAATTTGATCAACAGATCAATGGAAGCCATACCACGAGGTTTTTCAACACTTTTATGGAATGACTCTCTATTTGACTTCATTTATGATATAGGATTTAAGAAAGAAAAAAATATAATTGATTTTCCATCATCTTTTGACCCAATTGAAGTTGGCGATCACCATAATATTTACAGACACATAACAACACTTATATTTGGTCCGCGAGCCAATATAGACTTTTTTGAAATTTATGGCATTTTTCTTTCATCTCATTTGCAATCTGAGCTCATTGCAGTTTCTAGATATATCGGGTTTGCCATAATGCATCAGATGCCGTCAAGAGACTTTCCAAACTGTTTTCCTAAACACGTCAGAACTGGAAGTCAAGGAATCCTCGCAACTGATGCAGCAAGATTGCAAAAATCATCATCTTCAACAACATTTAAAAAGAAACAACTAAGAAATTCTGATGTGAATTGATTAGTAATTTTTAAGAAATTTATTACCATTTATCCCATTTATTGTATTGTTTTTATAAAGTTTTATTCGTCTTTTAGCTGATTGTTTTAATTTTTAATTTCAATATCCTTCACTTGCATTGAATTGAAGCCAGAACAATACGATGAATGTTTATTCTTGAATAGTTACAAGAGTTAATAATGATGGAATTCATATGACCTAATTCAATATCAATAATTTTTACGTTTAAAGAAAATTATATCAAACTGGAATCCTAGAATGCAGAAGTGTTTTTAAAACAATTTATATAAATGGTATTCTTCTTATAGTTAATTTTCTCTATCAATGTGATTCAAAGATATTTTTTGCCATGTAAAGTCAAATGTCAGAGAAAGACAAAAATGAAAGCAGGAGATGATGTTATGGATGTTTGGGCAAATAATTTAGAAGAAGAGATGCTCAAAATATCAAAACTTGTCGAAACTTATAAATTCGTCGGAATGGATACAGAATTTTCTGGATTTATTGTTAAAACTTTTAATAATACACCAGATGATGTAAAATATCATGCAGAACAGACAAATGTCAATCTTTTAAAACTAATACAAATAGGAATTACACTTGGTGATGAAAAAGGAAATCGTCCATCTCCTTATTGTACTTGGCAATTTAATTTTAAGTTCAATGTTAACTCTGACTTGCAAGCTGCAGAGTCAATCAATTTGTTACGTCAATCAGGCATAGATTTCGATAAATTCTATAAAGATGGAATTGATATTTACGATTTTGTACCAATGTTTTATTCAAGTGGATTAGTTATGAACGATAAAATCAATTGGATCACATTCCAATGTGGATATGACATTGCATATCTTGTTAAACTTGTTTCTGCTTCACCTTTACCAAAATCTGATACAGAATTTGCCAAAATTGTTAAGCAGTACTTTCCAAATTACTATGATTTACGATATATTATGGGTACAATAACTGATCAAGTCGGATCTCTTCAGGAAGTCGCCAGAGACTTAAATGTTCACAGATATGGCCCAGTTCATCAGGCAGGATCCGATTCATACGTTACATTACTGTCATATTATAAAGTAATCGAACAACATTTTGATGGAAATTTAACTTTAGAAAAATTTAGAAACAAAGGCCAATAAATCAAAAGAAATTACATCATAGTACATCCATACCTTAATACATCTATCAAAACATATAGAATTTCATAACTTTTGCAAAAATTATTTATTTCAAACTTACTTTGAATGGAGATGATCATTCACAAGATAATTCTCACATGTGTAACTACCTAATGACCAAAACACCCAGAGATTTAATTATATCTCGTATTTTATTTTTTGACTTGTTAACTTAAACATTATATTATAAAGTATACATACTTTGTCGTACTTTTGGAAGATTTGAAACGTATATCAAATCTAAATCTAAATCTCAAAAAATTTATAATGAATCATCCTTGTTTACTTTATAAAATCATTCAAACATTAAGATTTGAAACATACATCAAATCTAAATCTTAAGTATATGTAGAAAACAATCCTGTTCCCAAAATACAAAAATCAAATAATATAAAGGTAGGATTTTGGGGACTAAATATGAATTTAGAATTAGCTATATTTGTTCTCGTAATGATTTTGGCTATTATGTTAGTTAATAAACATTAATCTTTTTATTTTAATCATTGTTTTGTATAAAAATTATAAGTTTAGAAGAGAAAAGTGTTCCTGATAATCTTTTATTTGAAACTTTATACAAACATATGTTTTCTTTAAATAAATTTACCACTTTATACACTTCTTTGTACAAAGCCCATAACGCAATACAACGATTTTGTGCAAACCATATTAAGATGAATTTGACCTCATGCTTAAAAAATTTTTTTAATTAAAAAATAATAATAATAACATTTATAAAAACATTTTCTATCTATCATTAGTAATTAATCAAGAGAAGTACCCACATTTCCATAGAAACCATCTTGTTTAGAATCCATAAAATCTGCTGCAAATGGATCATCTGACATCTGCATTGAAAATATTGGATTTTCATTAGTTAATATAAGTTCCGTTTCAGCATTTGCTGCTTCAACTTTTTCGACGTCGAGTTCGATTGCAGATGTAGAACTATCTTCTTCATTACGCTTAATGATGATAAGTATAATCATTGAACAAATTAAAATGACCTCAATAGCTGCAATAATAATCAATATAAGTAATAATGATGACACTGATTTTATCTCTGGATTATCAAAAATGATTTTTCCACTTGAAGTTGTTTCCGTTGATGTAGAAACATTACTTTGTTGATTTTGAGTGCTGCTTGAGGATTCAATTGGTTTATTTTCTTCTTCCTCTTCCTCCTCTTCTTCTTTATCTGGAATGTTGATAATTGCAACTTCACAATCATTAGATGATAAAAGATGTTGATCATTATTAAATTCGATATATTCTTGTTGTTCATTTCTAGATGAAGAATAATCATCCTTTGCATAGTTCTCAAATGGAACTGAGGAATCACAATCACCTCTAATTACTGGTGCTATGGCATTTTCATGAGCTATGTCAAGACCATTCACCTGAAAATCCTGGTGTTTCCAAAATGGGTCATGAAATGACTCTGAAACATAAAAGTTTTGAACAGTATTGAAAACAAATTTATACATTTGGGCATTAGGTCCATAGCAAAGATTATGAAGATATGGTGTATATGTTCCTAATATTGGCCTTGATCCATATGAATAAATTGAATTAGGAATAACTAAAGTAGTTACACCGTAGTCTTCAACTTCTCCATCAGCGGAATATTTAGGAAGAGACTGAATAGAATTTGGTTCAATAATTGAAACATAATCAGGAATAACATATGTTGAAGGAAGTTTTCCATAAGTTAGAATGAGTTTATTGGTACTTTTATCAATTAGCTCATGATTTCCGAGCATAAATACAGGATGCTTACATGTTTTGAATCTAAATTGAACATTTTCAGAACCAAGAAATGCAAGCGATGAAATTTCGGTGCATTCATCTGGGATAATAAATAAAGTTAGCTTAGGAATGAAAGCAAATCCAAAGTCATCAATAGAAGTGAATTTAATATCTACAACTCGCAATGAAGTGTGTTCAAACATACCTTTACCAATACTATAACCTACTTTAATTTTAACTATTCGAAGTTTTTCAGCATAAGAAAAAATTCCTTCTTCATAATTACCATTTTCGAGTTCAAATTTTTCTATACCTGTTCTTGAGAAACAGTATTTTTTAAATGTGTGAGATTCTGAATCAGAAATAAATCCAACACTTTTAAGTGATACACAGTTATAAAATGAATATTCATCAAATGTTGCGGCCGTGAAATTAAGTGTTGTTAATTTGATGCAATTTTCAAATGAATGTTTTCCAAAATTTTTGACTGATTCTAAGTTGATAGTTGATAAGAGTTTGCAGTTATAAAATGCATAATCACCAATACTTGTAACTGTTGAAGGAAGTGAAACTGTTTCTAAATTAACAAAGTTATAGAATGCATATGATGGAATACTATTAATTCCACTGATTGTTACTTCTTTAAGTGATTTAAAGTTGCTGAAACCTGATGAAAATGAAATTTCGCGATCAATATTAATTTTTGTAATTGTGCTATGAATGAGTGCATTTTTCCCGATTTCTGTGATAGTAGAAGGAATAGAATTCACTCCTGAACCAATGTAAACTAATGGTGTATCTTTCGTTATAATGTTGTTTTCGTTCTTTAATGCTGTAGTTTGTAAATCAAATGTGATTGGTGGACAATCTTCAAAACCAAGTAAATCAAATTTAGTGATGCTGCTTCCAAGTGTGATCTGATTAAGTTGTGAACAACCTTTGAATGATGTTAGATCAATTGAAGACAAATCAGTACTAATTGTTAAATGTTGAATTTTACTGTTGAAGAATGATTTGTATTGAATAGTTGTAACAGATTTAAGATCTAAATTAGTTAGTTTTGTATTTTGGAAAGAGAAGTTAGCAATTGTTGTAACACCACCTAAATCAATTGTTTCTAATGATGTGCATCCTGAGAACATAAATCCTGAAATAGTTGTGCTATCTGATGTAAATGTGACTTCTGTCAATCCAACACAATCCTCGAATTCATGCAAATTCATAGCATCTGTTGACTTAACTTTAATTTTTGTGAGTTTAGAACAGCCTTCAAATGATGACTTCTTTCCATTTATTACATAGTTTTCGTCACCTTCAAGTAATATGCAATGACTGAATGCACCTGCTTCGATTCTTGTTACTCTATTCAAAGGAAAACTAGCTAATGCCGAGCATCCTGAGAATGCATAGTCATATACTTCAATACCACTATCTCCAATTGTAATTACAATGAATTTGCTCTGAAAATTTTTGTGTCTGGCAAATTTGCAGTTTGTAATGCAATACAGTTAGAAAACGCGAATTCTTTTATTTCATTCATGTTGGGTATTGATACCGATGTTAATTTGACACAATTTGCGAAACTATCAACATCAGAAGAAGCGCTATTTCCAGTGAAAGATATCGATCCTAGATCGATGCATTGCGCAAAACATTTAGATCTGATAATCAATGAATTTGATTTTAAGCTTAATTCTGTAATTTTTGATAATGCAAACGCATTCTTTTTTATTTCAATTTTATTCGTTACTTCGATCGATATAGAATATTGTCCTGTTGCATAAAACGCATAATTATCAAGCACAAGTAAACTTCTGCCAGTTTCAAAATTTAATGAAGTTAATTTTGCGCAATGCGCAAATGCATATTGGGAAATCTGAGTACAAGTTTTGATATTGTAACTTGGCGAAGATCAAAACAATTAAAAAATGCATATTCTGGACAATTATTGATTGAAATTGTAGTAATTCCACTATTTGCAATTGTATACTCTTCAATGATATAATCTTGATTTAATGAAACAACTGATAACTTATGACAGTTCTCAAAAGCATTTTTTCTGATAGAAGTTACATATTCAAGATTTATAGTTTCTATAGAAGAAAAAGCAAACGCGTAATCTCCGATGGATTCTACATTTTGTGGAAGAGTAACAGTTTGTATTATATTGTTTTCATAAAACAATTTTTCCGGAATCTCAAAAATGTATGTAGATGTGATTTCTAAATCTGTAATATAATTAAAACCGCTGAATGCTTGTATCTCGGCTTCTTCACCAATAATAATTTTTCGAATGTTGCCATTGATTAATTTTTTTCTTGCTTCTGTATCTGTATAGTCTGAAGAACTTTCAATCGTCATAACATCACCACTAACCGAAACCGAGTTCAGGCAAATAGAACTTTCTAAAAGTTGAGAAAATGCAGCCCTTATCAACATTAATATCAGTAAAAAAAAATTGATATCCAAAACTTATAAAGAATACAAGATGGGTAAATCTCATACTTTTGAAGGATATTCAATTCTTTGAAAAATACTGGCTTCAATTTTTTAGATTTTGAATATTGATTTACGGCTTTCTTCATTCCCTCAAAACAATACATATTTTGCATTATAATATAAATACAATTTCCAAAATTTTATAGGTAAATTTTTGATTCCTCATTCTCAAAAGAAAAATTCATTGAATTATTAAAATCGTTATTTTGTAAAGAGAAAATTTAAAGGTACATCCACGAGACTTCTCAACGATAGATTTTCAAATAAATAGGATATTTAGAATCAGTAGGCTCCAAATATGAATAATATGATCTTATTTTGAAAAGTTATTAAGATAATAAAAAAAATTGTGAATTATATTTTAATTTCCCTAATTTTTATCAATTAATCATCAAATTGTGATTTATATATCAAATGTAATTTCAAATAGAAGTAAAAATCAATATTCATATTCTGTATTTTAAATTGAAGTATTATTGGAGCTTTTGAATGTAACTATACCATTTTCAGCTTACATGAATTTGATCCATTATGTAGTATCCAGTTTCTCAGCTAAATAAGAGATTTGAATATTAACTTTTGAGGATTTAACTGAAAATAGTATAATGAAAATGAGTCATTACAGAAATATTTTATATTCAGTAAACCTTTTTTCGTAAATGAGAGTTCTTATCATTTATCAAAAATCGCAAGAAGTCTCTTGAAAATCTTGGAGTTCCTCAAGAAACGATATTATTCAAGATGCATGTCGAGACAATTTAATCAAATTAATCAGAAATCGAAGCAAAACCTCACATTTATTAATAATTTTAAGTAAAATTTAAAATTCAAGATTAGAATGTCTACTGAATGCTAACAAATACGAATAAAATCTCATCTCTCGACTAGGATATTAATATGAAACAGGTTTTCGTTTAAATCTAATATAAAAATGAATAAAAACTCTACTTTTACACTTTTTATTCAAGTATTTTACTAATATAGATCATGTTTTATCAATACTTAGTACTATCTTTTTTGAAACAAATGAGAATAAGGATGATATTTGTGATTTTAAATAATTTTTTAAGATTCGTCTTTAATTCATCACATTGTGAGATGTATAAAGCATTCCCATAACTCATTCTGCTTAATTGATCAATTCAAAATTACAAAAAAAATTCAAAAATTCAAAAATGAAAATCAAAAATTTGATTTTTCTCTTGAAAAAATTAATTTCAAAAAAAATTTGGAAAATAAAAGTATTGTATAATTAGCCAAATCGTCAAATTAACACGTTTTTACTCATAAAAAACACCTAATTTTTGATTTTGATATTATATTTGATAAAATGTCATTTAAGAGTTGATGCAATGTCATCATTGTTGATGAAAATATTAATACTATAACAAAATTCTTATTTTAAGGTAGTAAAATAATAACGTTTTTATTTCAACAACATCAAGTAAATAGATGAATGGATACGTACTGTATTCGCATAAATGTAGTAACTATCATCTAGATTTGAGTTATGAATATTCCAATCAAAATGTATAAATTTGAAATCAGAAATATCCAAAGATTATGTGAGGCACTGTACACTAATTATAGAGGTCATTTTAATTCATAAGTAACTTATATAATAAAACCGATTTTTAATTTCTTATTGCAATAATTTCCTCAAATCTTAGTAACTTTTTCTATATTCAAGTCATTTGAATATGTATCATAAGGTAAGTAAAAAACCAAAATTACGAGGAATTCTGTCGTTGCATTTTGGAGTTGCAAAATTTCGATTTTTAATGTGTGATTTTAGCATGTGTAATCTTGTTCTTATCTCAACGCGATGGTATAGCTGCAATATGATTTAAATTAAAGAAGTTGAACTTAAATTGAATAATGCTGGAGAATAACTGACAATGCAACTAATTATATATTACAAGATAATTGCCAATTGGAGTAATAAATTATTCTGCATCAATCATTTCTTTCATTTCTGGCATGGCGAGCAGAAAGAAAGCGATCAGTAACACTAGGAAAAAAGAAGAGGGGTGTCACTTTTCGTGAATGTACCTTTTGGATTTGTTACATTTTTAAGGGTGCACACGAGAAGATCATGTAAACTTCAGAATTTAGAACCTTATTTTTAGGCATTATCTTGGCTACCTATTTAGGCTCGAAAAGCAAAAAATATCAAAAAATACAACTTGACTCCATTATGACCCTTTCATGGAGGTAGTTTTTATCCGCTAGTATTTTCCCTTTGAATTTCTTTACAATTCGAAATCAAATTCAAATCTCAGTAGAAGAAAGGAAGAATCGACTTACTACGGTTGTAATACGAATAAATACATATATTTAATTATTTTTATTTACATAATAATTGTTTGAAGCTCATATTCCATCAAATTTTTAAATAAAAACATTAAAATGTTGAAAATGTTCATATATTTTAATAGGGTTTTGGCACTTTATTGAGGAATTACTACATACATAGTCGAACTGAACTTGATATTTTGAAATTTAAATTATTTATCAAAATTAAAATTTAACTTGAAATTTATAATTATTTAGTCATATTTTGCATAATTCTGTAATAAACAGAAATTCATCAAAAGTGACAGCTCTCAATTTTTTGACATTTGTAAATTCTAAATTGAATGAGAAAAATGAAATAATACTAAGCATAATACAATATTCTAGATTTAATTATAATTAGGAAAAAGTTAGTTTTGAGAGTACTTTTCATAGGCATATAGAATGAAATCTTCTGAAAAATAATATCGCATAAACTCATATTATTTTCTAATATATAACTATTTTATATAAAAATCAAATTCAATGATCTTAAAAGCGAAGGATTAACCTCAAAATTTACGAATATAATGAGTGGGAATATAATGCTTATCTATCATAAAACCATATGAAATATCAATTTTTGCTTTACGCCTAATTTTTGACGACAATTAGCAAAAAATGTTAAATGTTAACACTCAGTCCATTTGAATATGAAAAATAAAATTGACTTTGATTAAATGTTTTTATTTATCATGCAATTCTTCTTGCGACCAAAGATTTGAATAAAAGTTCAAAAAATAAGATAGCTTAAAAAATAATATACGGTAGTGTTTACTAATAGATGAATAGTATATAAATTCTATTAAAATGGATTTGATCCAAAAAAATATATAAAATTTGATCATAAATAAAATCGTTTTAAATTACTTCTTCATTTAAATTATAACAATTATTTTTGGTTTTATATTTTTTTGGATCAAATCCATTTTAATAGAATTTATATACTATTCATCTATTAGTAAACACTACCGTATATTATTTTTTAAGCTATCTTATTTTTTGAACTTTTATTCAAATCTTTGGTCGCAAGAAGAATTGCATGATAAATAAAAACATTTAATCAAAGTCAATTTTATTTTTCATATTCAAATGGACTGAGTGTTAACATTTAACATTTTTTGCTAATTGTCGTCAAAAATTAGGCGTAAAGCAAAAATTGATATTTCATATGGTTTTATGATAGATAAGCATTATATTCCCACTCATTATATTCGTAAATTTTGAGGTTTATCCTTCGCTTTTAAGATCATTGAATTTGATTTTTATATAAAATAGTTATATATTAGAAAATAATATGAGTTTATCTGATATTATTTTTCAGAAGATTTTGTGTTCTTCTTCAAAATTTTATTTTTTTTATTAAAAAGAATCTTTACAAAATATACATTTACTTTAATTAATATTTAAAAACGTGCTCTATCAAAAGTTCCAAAAATTCAATATTTTAGCTTTTCTGAGGTGTCACTTTTGATGAATTTCTGTTTACAACAATTCTAAGTAGATTTTGTAAAAAATCAAGAAAGAAAAATTTTAACGTGCTTTATTTTTTCTTTTTATAATAATACATATTATTATATAATTAACATATTCATAATGTTTCACCCTTTCAAAAATATAATCCTCCTCCTCTCAAATAAACGTACATACGGGTGGCCTCTTTTTTCAAAAAATTAAAATTTGAAATTTTGGGCTCAAATATTAGAGATTTTTTCAACCTTCAACGATATATGTTGTCTATATCAGACCTCCTTTCTTTTTGATACTTAACATTGTTCCTAAATCTTAGCCGTTAAGGCTGTTCCGAAAATATTTTTTTTTCGAAAAAATTCGAAAAAAATTCTTAAAATTCAAAAATTCCTTAATTCCTGAGGATTTTGGAAAAAAGTTTTTACATGAACATGTGTATATTATATGAAGTATATTGATAAGGTAAAAATCAAATTTTATTGCATATTCATCGAGAAAATAAACTAACGAATCCCTCAAAATTGAGAGGGTAATCCCCCTCCTCTCAAATAAACGTACATACGGGTGCACCCTTAATATTAAATATATTTTTTGTAATATTATAAAATGTTTCTATCGTTATGTTAATCATTCAAAAATGCTCAATCATCTTACATTTCAAGTATTATTACACTCTAAAGCCAAACTAATCGCAGAACCTGCATATGAAGATGACGGCAAAACTCTTATTATATCATCTAAAGATGATTTCAAAGATGAAAATTTACTACCTATAGTAACAAGCAAAAACATTGAAAAATTAGTGATCAAAGGAACAGAAATTACAGGGTTAACAATTCTTTCTGCTTTTAGTTACATTCAAAATTATGATTTTTCAGAAACTTCGATTTCAGAGATTCCGCCATATTGTTTTAAAGACTTAAAAAACATCAAAACTATAACGCTTCCAAACCAAGGGATAAATATTGGATCCTTCGCTTTTGCAAATTCATCAATTGTTTCTGTTATTGGTTCTCAAGTTCTTACAATTGATACATATGCGTTTTATGGATGCTCAGACCTTACAGCTATTGATTTGTCAAAAACTGATATGGTAACGGATTTTGCATTTACAAATTCAAGTATAACTGAAGCTCACTTAAATAATGCTGCTGATTTTTCATATTCGTTCTACAAATGCGATAAATTGACTACCCTTACCTTCCAAAATCCACCTGCTGTAAAAGATCAACTAGATTTCACCAAAATTACGTCAATAACATTAGCAGGTGCTGATGAGGGGTTTTATATGCCTGAACTAGTTGAGTTAACAATTAGTGGCTCTGTTTGTAATATATATAATCCATTACCTAAATTAGAAAGCGTCACTTTTACAGATAACCAGATTTATTCGATTTATCTTATTAATCAACCCTTATTACAAACAATCATATTACCTCAAATGCAAGACGCAACTTTAACAGTTAGTTTTGAAAATAATCCTAAATTAACTCGAGTTGACAACAGCCAATTCATTCAAACTAGAATTCAATCCTATACACTTTTTGCAGGCTGTTGTGCCATTAAAACTATTGATTTAACAAATGTTGAATCTTTTGAACGTGATGATTTTCGGAATTGTTACAATTTGGAAACAATTACCGGTCTCACTGATATATCTACTAATGGCAAATTCTCGGTGCATTCAATGTTCCGAAATTGCTGGAAATTAAAAATTTCAACTATTTCTTCTGAATATTATAATGATGATGGAATGCCGATTTCTACTTTTACCTACTGCGGAATTACAGATATAACAATTTCAATTACATCTTCATTTAATTCAAATTTTTATTTCTTTGGATGCAAAAATTTGAAAACAGTTAAATATAATAATATATACACCATCCCAAAATATGCATTCAGAGATTGTATCAATCTAGAACAAGTTACGTTCTCGGATAGTGCATATTACGTTGATAATTTTGCATTTGAAAACACTAAACTGTCAACATTTGACCTTAAAAATATCGAAAGTATTGGGTATTTTGCTTTCTCTAACTGCAAAATTGAAGAATTGACAATACGAAAAGATATCCAACCACTACCTGAATTATATTCAATGGAATTTGATCTAGATAGAAACAAAGATTACTATAATTTTAATTTTGAGATGATGATAAATTACGAAAGATTGAATGATGGTAATGATTATCCAAATGATCATATGCATTACTATGTCACTCCTTTCTGGAATTGCAAGAAGTTGAGAAAGATAACATTAGGAAGCGAAGTTACATCATTTTCACTTAAATATTTCCCTAATTCAACAATCACGGAAATAGTGTTAGACAATAATAATAATTTTGCAGTTGAAAATGGTATATTATATGATACAACAAAAACAATTATTTATGCATATTTCAATACACAATCAACAGATTTTACTGTACCAGATACTGTTGAAACAATTTCTCCGTTTGCTTTAGCTTACAGTTCATATGAAACTATAACGATGCCAAAACAAATCAACATTATCAATGGTCTTTTTGCTTTCTGTCATAAGCTGAAAGAAGTAACAATTCAAGCTAAAATTAACAGATTAGGAGATGATACTTTCTCACATTGTTACAATCTTGAAACAATTAATTTTGCAGGAGGATCATCATTGATTTCTATTGGTCATGACTGTTTCATTTGCTGCTACAAATTATCTAGTTTACCATCATTGGAAAATGTTAAATATCTTGGAGATTATTCATTTGCATACTGTACTTCATTAACATCAATCAGTATTCCTAAAGTTAATACCATTCCTTCATTTTGTTTCTGGCATTCCAACATTGTACAATTTACTTTCTCTGATTCACTCTCAGCAATAAACATAAGTGCTTTTAACACAACAAAAATAAAGAGTTTCAGTTGCCCTGAGACTTTAGTCTTCATTAATGAAGATGCATTTGCAAACTGCAATAATTTAGAATCATTCACATATAATAACAAAGTATCATCAATTCTCCGAGGAACATTCTTCAATACATCATTAACTAAAATCAAAATTCCAAATACAATAACATATATAAATCCGATGGCATTCAATCAATCATATCATATCAATTTTGAATTTGAAGAAGGCGGCCATCCTCTTTTCACCGTTGACAACAATTGTTTCATTGAGAAGCACACAGGATTACTATTATTTACATATGGAAAAGTATACGGCGCATTCAAATTATCAAGCAAAGTTACTCGTTTCAATATGCACTCTATACACTCAGAAAGAGTCACAAAGAATGAAAAATTTATTATCAAACAAGGAATTACTACTTTAATCATCCCTGAATCGGTCAGAGACAAATACGAATATCAATTATTATCTTTTGAAGACATAGTCCAAACTGAAGTAAATAAATGGGCATCGACCCCTCAGAACCTTTGTTTCGAGGGTGATATTATTCCCCAATTGGGAACTTATGAATCTCCCTTTGAAGTTAATTATTATCAAGGGGAAAAATCTGTCGGGAATAGTAATCAAGGGATTAAATATGGTTGTAAGTTAGAGCAGGATTCTCTAATGAGAGCAAACGTTTTTAAAGCCGCCAATGATAATTATCCAAAGACATATAGATTAGGCAATGATATTTATTCTAATGGAAATGTTGATGGTATAGGTAATAATGGAATGTATGATGAATGGCATGTTCCAAATATACAGAAGTCTTATAATATAACATTCACTCCACAAACTCTGAATAAGAATTTAGAGCTTGCTCTATTTGTATTTGTTATGGTATTAACTATTATAATCGCAATTCTTTCTATTATATTAACTAAATTTTAATGTTTTGTTTTGATAATTGATTTTTTTTACATCATCATGTATAATTCATTTGATGAACTTTATACAGAATTTCCTATTTGAAATACAAAATTCACCACAAAGGGCTTACTCAGGGAATACAAAATTCCAGAATCATCAGTCAAATAGTGAGCATCACAGAAATTATAAATACAATTATTGCGCTCAAACTGTGTGACACATTTATTCGAAGTAATATCCACAATGGTACCAATTTCTGGAATTATCTCAATAAGTGATCTGGCAATATAGAACTACTGAGTTTCTTGTTGGAATCCATTCTTACCATTTGCTATCTCTGAAAAATTGAGAGTCACCTAGGTTTTGTCACGCAGTTTAATTCGTTTTTCAAAAATTGACAAATGTTAGGTGAAGATCAAGTGAAGAAAAGAGCCCCATCTACTATTAAAATTTTAACGGAAGATACAATTAAGAAGAGAGCTAATGTTCCAAACATCCAGGAAGTTAAAAACTTAAATATGTGGGGTTTAAATCTTACAGATGTTAGCATTATAGAGAAAATGCCTGCTCTTGAGAATATTGCACTCTCAGTAAACAAAATTCAAACATTAAAACCATTTGCAGCATGCACAAAACTCAGAGAATTATTTTTAAGAAATAATTTAATCAGTGATTTTGAGGAGATCGGATATCTTGTCAATTTAAAGCATTTACGAACATTATGGCTTAGCGAAAATCCTATTTCTAAAGAACCAAATTATCGTTCTAGAGTTATTCAAATGTTACCACAAATCACAAAACTTGATGAAAGCGATGTTACAGCGGCTGATAGAATACCTGTCGATAAGATTCCATCTGAAAGAATTTCTCCTCAACAGCAATATTCAAAGGCTGATATTGAATCTTTACCTCCTGTTCCACTAAAGCAAGAATATAAGCCACCTTCAGCACATCGTAGTGTAAGCAAACCAAGAAAGAACGATGCACCTGTGCTAACAGCTGTTCTTTCTTTACTTCCAGAATTATCTATTGATTCACTTGAAATTGTACTTCACAAGATTCGTGATTTAACTCAATAACATGTTCGGTTTTTACCATGTAGTTTTATTAACGTAAATACGCTTGTATATTTATTTATATTGTTAATCTTATATATTTTGTATATACTATCACTAATGAGAACCTTATTTTCATTAGTTTAAGTTGGTGCTTTAGTAATTACTTATCATCATAAAATTTCAAATATTAATACAAATCAAATAATTCTAGAGATTTAAATGATTCAAATAATATTGTTCATATACAGCTCCAAGTTCACAATATATAAAAACTGATCAATATTGATTTTTTACATTATCTCAAATTAGATTAGACATCAACACTAACCAAATGACGAATGTATACTTTGATAAGCAGGTTATATGATCTAATACCAAAAATCTATTATTTTTAAACAAAATAATATTAGAAATAATATTTATATAGAAAATAATACAACAAAACAATTATATCTTATATAAAATTAGTCAGAAGATGATCCTCCAATTGGATCTGCAGCTGCAGCTCCAGGCATTACGTCAGGTTCAGAATCGGAAGAGTCATCCTTTGAACCCTTGGCCTTAGGAGGTTCACAAAATGCATATGGTGGCAGTGGAGGTGGAAAAGTGACTGGTTTTTGGTCGGTATCTGCATGTCTTTCCCAAAGAGCAATTTTAGCTCCATTTTCACCTGTAGCTGTAATGAGGAAGTTCCCTGAAGGATGTGCGTGAACAGCAATTGAAGGAAAACCTTTAACAGCTTTGTATCTGATTGGAATTTCGACTGGAGGCTCCTCTACAACTTCTTTTTGTGGAGACTTTGGTTGTTCTGTATTTTGTTGGGCTTGTGGCTGCTCTATTGGTTTTGGTGGTGGTGAATTTAATAATGATTCAAGAGAATCGAGATCTGGCTTTTGTTGCTGAATAGGTGGTGGCTGTTCAGGCTGAGCTGGCTGTTGCGGTGGTTCAGGAGCTGGTTGCTGGGCTTGTTCTGGCTGTTCTGGTTTTGGAATTTCTTTTTTAACTTTTGGAGGTTCAGGAGGAAGCTCAATTACATCGAATTCCATTGGAATAGACCATTTTGGCTCCATTGTAGCTAAATCCCATCCAACTGCGTATGAGTTTTCTGTTCCAGAATAAACTTCAACTGTTTTTTTGCCATTTTCGTTTTCTCTGACCAAAAATCCCGAGAAAACAGGGAAGTTGTAGTTTTCGTGGCCTGTGTAGAGGGCTTTAAGCTTCTGATCTCGTAAACTTATTAATTTAATTTTAGATTGCAGCAGAGAAACAAGTAAATATGAGTCATTTGGGGCTATTTCCATATGAGAGATAGGAATACCTTCTAAATTAACAGATTTCACACATAAGCCACTGAAAGTTTCGAAAATTCTGCAAAAACCATCCCAGGAACTAGAAATTACGAATTGACCATCGTGATTGAAAACAACTGAAGATACAGGATCGTTATGCGCTGATATCATACGAAGACATTTTCCAGTGGCCGTTTCCCAAATTCGGACACTTTCATCATAACTTCCACTAGCTATACGTAATTTTGACGGTGATATATCACAAGAAAACACATATGAATGATGACCTGTGCATTCTGATATGATTTCAAAATCTGTGGTTCTATACAAATTAATGTTGCCATCATCCGAACAAGAGATCAAAATTGATGAATCATTTGACCATTTAAGCTGATTAACTCCCTTTTTATGCGCAAATACTTTTTTTATTAAGCTTCCATTTTCCATATCGTAAATTGTGACAATTCCATTCGAAAAACCTGCTGCAAAACGATCTCCTGAAGGTGAAAACTGAAGGCAAGATACAGGATCATTCAGATCTGGTGTTATCTCGCCTTTTAATTGCCACATCGTGTTTAGAAAAGTGACATACTCAAGAAAGAGCTCAATTTGAAATCTAAGCAAATGTTAAAATCTTTAGAGGGTTATAGGTCAAATTGTCGGGACCTTCTTAAATTGTTCAATGGTGATGTAATTTTAGACGTTTCACTCCATATATTGGGATTCCTGGCTTCAAACTTTACCAGTAGAATACATCATCTAATAACTAAATAATTCAGACAGTATATAAGACTTTGGCGATTATTATATTGAATAATTTTGATAGTTTTCGTTCAGAAATTTTAATCATACTTTCCTATTGTTATTGTGTCATTTAATACCTATGAACTTAATTAAAGTTCATAAATTACCCTCAATTTTTAACTTTTGCAACTCCAAAAACCAGGTGTTTTTCCAGAACTACCATCTAGGATGAGTCCTAGGAGCTATAATTCTAGGATTAGATGAGACCCACTTAGTACTTTTATTTGTATATGTTTTAATGGAATTTGGTGAGGGGTCATGAAATTCGTATCTAATTTGCTATCATCTAAGCTGGTAAAAGTTAGAGAAAGCTATTTACTGGTTGTATATTACAAATATACCTTGTAATAGAAAATATAAGTGTTTGTGATTTAAATTCGCTCAATTAGCTCGAAAATTTGTTTTATATCCATGACAAACCAACACAATCCTATTTATGTGATTTCCAATCTGTTCTCAAAATATATCAGCATGAATATATATATATTGATATTATTTGCAATTTCATCATTAAATAGTACTTTTTTTTCTATTTTTAATTTAGAAATAGTATAGTTATATGATAGCGACACAATATTTTAATTAAAAAATATATGTTATCGATCATCACACTCAAATTGAATTTCAAAAATTTTAGAATTTTTCAATTTCAATATTGAAAATATATTTCTTATATCATAGCGATTCATGTTATAATAATATGGAGAAAAATATTGTTTTAAATCTAAAATTTAAAATGAATGATTGGGCATTACATTATTCCAATTTATTGTTTATTTGTTAATCTAGTGGAAACAATTAATATTTTGGAGAAACAAAAATTTGAAATTTGAAATTTTGAAAAAAATGCATGAATCGGTAATTAAACATTGATTTATTAATTTATTAGCCATGTTTTGATGTTGGTCTTATTCTTAAGCCGATTTAAAGAATTAATTTTTCCAAATCGTGTTTGACATTAACACATATAGATATATCAGGAAAAAAGGTATCACTTATCAAGTTATTGGTTTTTATGTATCTCCTAACTTTGCCTCGTTCTGAATACAATTCTAGTTAACGAATTTTAAATAACTATATGAAGAATACATCATTTTGGTTTTATTATTATTAAAATGATATATATTAGCTATGATATGCTTGTAAGAATATTATTCCGTGAATTGGAAACAGAAAAAATAAATTTAGACAGAAAATGCATATCTTTAAAAAATAATATGAAATTTAGCTTTGATATTATTATCCGATAAAATATGCATGATAATTACTCCGCAAATAAAATTTAGGAAGCAAGTTGTGACGGTTTGAGCGGTTTTTAATGGCTCACAAGGAAGGAAGTATCGTTTTATCAGGCAACAAGAGGTCTTGAAATGAGTAAAGGACTGATCACCCTTGAAAGGTTCAAACTTGCTTGCGCGCCGCAGTCTTAAAAATGATATGTTTCACTTCTGGTCGAAAATTTCAACCTCTATGACAGTTGTTGGATGAACAATTGTGTAGCGGGATGAAATCTGAGTGCGGCCTGGGGCTGCAGCGTCAATCTTCCCGGCATCTTTACCGCAATCATCTCTTAGATTGCACACAAAGTTGCGAACGAGCAGCTTTCTATGCGGTAAAGATGCCGGAAAGAGAGAGTCGATGTGAGGTTCTTTTCGAGGTCTCGTAGAATGATAGAAAGTTCCGCATTCATAACTTGAATGTGGAACTTTGACCGACAAGAGTGCACAATACACTCTTGTCGGTCGCAGTGTCTCATTCTGGGAGATATTGCCTCTGCATGTATCCCAGAATGGAACAATCTTTTGCAATCAGAATGTGATTGCAAAACTTTGACCGACAAGAGTGTATTGTGCATCCACCTTTGTCAATTAACTATGTTTTATAGAGACATCCCCTCACACATATTTTTTCTAATATAATTTTACCTTTTAATATTTATTTTTTTTTTGTGCTTTATATAACTTATGGTGTGTACCGAACTATCTTATAGACTCTACTGAGCTATCCACATATAAACATGTGACAATAACGCATACATACTCCCTTCGTATTCTGATCTCATGACATATTATCGCAAAAACTATATTTATACAACACACCTCATAAAGTCTCATTTTAGCCCTATCTAAGCGTTCAAAACCTATTTTCCCCGCGTAATCTGATTCTTCAGGCTCCGCTGATTCGATTTCTGCTGTCAGATCGTGAAAATATGCATCACAGAACAAGATAAACACAAATTACTTAACTTAATATTTTCCTTAAAATTTCCTATTCCTCGCTATGGGAATATTTATTATATCTTCCGTTTCCCCTCACAAATATATTTAATTTTCTGAATAATACGTATAATAAAATGAATAACTCAAAAACTAAAATACAATATTAATATTGGGTAATGACTCGATATGATCAAAACTTTTGAATTCATACATTTTTTGAAAAATTTGGATTTTTCAAAAATGATTTTGTTTGAGCATGAACGTGAAGCGAAATTTTAAGGAAAATATTAAGTTAAGTAATTTGTGTTTATCTTGTTCTGTGATGCATATTTTCACGATCTGACAGCAGAAATCGAATCAGCGGAGCCTGAAGAATCAGATTACGCGGGGAAAATAGGTTTTGAACGCTTAGATAGGGCTAAAATGAGACTTTATGAGGTGTGTTGTATAAATATAGTTTTTGCGATAATATGTCATGAGATCAGAATACGAAGGGAGTATGTATGCGTTATTGTCACATGTTTATATGTGAGGATAGCTCAGTAGAGTCTGTAAGATAGTTCGGTACACACCATAAGTTATATAAAGCACAAAAAATAAAAAATAAATATTAAAAAGGTAAAATTATATTAGAAAAAATATGTGTGAGGGGATGTCTCTATAAAACATAGTTAATTGACAAAGGTGGATGCACAATACACTCTTGTCGGTCAAAGTTTTGCAATCACATTCTGATTGCAAAAGATTGTTCCATTCTGGGATACATGCAGAGGCAATATCTCCCAGAATGACATCTTCATGCCAAAAGCAATATATTTCTTATTTAAATTTGCATAAACTCCAATTTTTTTTCAATCTTAATTAAATTTTTTTTCTACTTCTTTAATTCGTTTCATCTTTCTCATAGAATATCTATTCCTTTTACAGACATGAAATCACTAATCAGGCTTTTTCAATACTCATATATTTCATATAAATCATTGTTATTTTTTCTCTCATCGCATATTTTATTAAATTTACATATTTCCTCACACATATCCCTCTTCACATATATTGAATCTCCACACTCATCTATTAGAACAATATATTTTCGCTTAATCTCATATTATTCATTAACAATCCCTATTCTTATTTCTAGTTAATATACCAATATATATATATAGAATATATGCCGAATTACATATTCAGATATATTAAATTCAAGAAATTCTTCTAAATTATTCTCCTATTCATAATAAAATCATATTTAGTCTCACATCACAATTCTCTCAGTTCTCCAATATCATGTCATATTGGTAACATCACATATATATCTTATAATATCACTTTAATTTGTATTTTTTTATTTTAATTATATTTAATTAGTTCTACATTCTATTATTATAGAGGTTTGACAAATTCATCAATAGTTAAAATCGAAATCTATGCAGATCTTTGAATCTAATGAAAATTACATTTCGATATCTTTTTGCAAGCTTAATTTTTTGTATTATCTTAAAATACATTTAGTAATGTTATGTACATATTGAATTCAAATTATGACGCAGTATTATGCAACTCATCTTGAGATTCACATTTCATTTTCACAATTATTGCATATATACATCAATAACATATTGTACTCATATAGCTACACGACTCTAAACTCAATGACATCAAATAATGCTTCTAATATTTAAAATTATTTTTGCATTTTTGATTCTCAGCTTAACTTCTATAAATGTCACCAAAACATTTCATTCCTACCAAAAAATAATATATTAGTAATTAAGCGTTTATTATTATTGTTACTCACATCATATTAATTCATTTTTGTAATTTTTTAAATAAATGACTGGAATCATAAACCCTATGTACCCATATCAACATGTTAAAATTTCAAAGTCTGAAACTTAGTATACATTGAGTTTCATGAAATCAGATAATCTCGTAGATTTCTTAAATATTATATATTGCTGGCCAATAATGATGCAGCATGATTCTCCATCATATCAGCATTCTAAACATATCTTTATTTTGTCAATTGGCATAAATTAAGGGTGCTTTTCAGGCGATAAATGGTATTTTAGATACCTGGGTATTTCCGAATTCTTTGTGATCATTGATTTCCGCATGCATAGCATAATATTTGTTTCTTCTAATGAATTTAAAAGATATTTATATGATAAAATGCAAATGTATCCTTTTTTAAAAAATATTAATGTCCGACCCAGACATTCATCCAAATATATACAGCGAACTGCGAAATATTTGCAAACACCACATTGATTCATATATTGCGTTGTATCAGCTGAAAATGGAAAAGGAAGAAGATTTAAACTCAATTTACAGACTGATCAAAACAGAATTGATTGATTCAAATAAATATCCTCCCCAAATAATTATGCGAGACATTTTAAATATCATTCCGTATAATAATCGCTATGCAAAGTCATATTTATCTCTTGCCAAACTCATATCTGATGATTACCATGTCACAGAGGTCAGAAATGTTGAACAACCTATTTCAAACTTCTTGTTTTACAAAGAATATGGAATTAAATTAGACAAATCATATGATTTTGAAAAATTTAACTTGGAAAATCTGGATATTCATATAGAAGATACAATTTACAGAGCAATTATGTATAATGACTTAGAAAGATTCATCACATTCACAGAAAGAGAATATTTTGATAAAGATCAAATACTTAAATGCGATTTATATCCATATTCTTATTATGGATATTCATTACTTGAATTATGTTGTTACCATGGAGCAGTAGATTGTTTCAAGTTATTAAGAACGAAATTTAACTCAGAAATAACTGGAAATTGTCTAGAATTTTCATTTTTAAGAGGAAATCCGGATATCATGAGCGAATGTTTGAAATATCAAAAACCAGATGAATATTGCATGAAGTATGCAATTATTTCACACAATATTGATTTTGTTACATTCTTGATGAATGAATATAATATAAGGATCAAATTGGATTATTGTGTACAGTTTAATAATCTCGAATCATTTTTAGTATATTTAGACCAAACTAATGATATAAACAAATGCTTTGCAAATTTAGCAATGTTTAATATTCCATCTCTTTGTGAATATTTCCTATCAAATGGTGCAAATGTCAATGAAAAAGGTGAATATGGACAAACCGCTCTTCATTATGCAGCATGTTATAACAATAAAGAAACTGCTGAACTTCTTATATCACATGGTGCAAATATCAATGAAAAAGATAAGTATGGAACAACAGCTCTTCATTTTGCTGCAAAATATAATAGTAAAGAAACAGCCGAACTTCTTATATCACAAGGTGAAAATATCAATGAAAAAAATAATTATGGAACAATAGCTCTTCATTTTGCTGCAGAAAAAAATAGTAAAGAAATAGCCGAACTTCTTATTTTACATGGAATAAATATCAATGAAAAAAATGATTTAAGAGAAACCACTCTTCATTATGCTGCAGAAAAAAATAGTAAAGAAACAGCCGAACTTCTTATTTTACATGGAATAAATATCAATGAAAAAGATCATAGGAAAAGAACCGCTCTTCATTACGCGGCAGAACATAAATTTAAAGAAACAGCCGAACTTCTTATTTCACATGGTATAAATATCGATGAAAAAGATAATGATGGAAAAACCGCTCTTCATATTGCAGCACGTTATAATCTTAAAGAAATAGCCGAACTTCTTATATCACATGGAATAAATATCAATGAAAAAGATATATTTGGATTAACCGCTCTTCAAATTGCAGCACGTTATAACTATAAAGAAATAGCCGAACTTCTTATTTCACAATTAATGTGATATTAGGGTTGTACAAACTGGCACGCCTGCTGGCACGATTTTTTTTTAAAAAAACACATTAAAAAAGTCACTTTTTGCCCCATCTAATGAGTTTTTTTACATCCCCCTTATTTTTCATTTTAGATATGATTTTAAGCTCTCCAAATTGAAGTTTACCTGATGTTTCTTAGTTTTTTTTTTTTACCGGAAAGCTGCCATCGAAGGCAAGTTGTGTTGCTCTTTCATCAGCTTCTTTAGAATATGAGTCTACATATCCATATGGAACTAATATTGGCGCGTTTGTATAAATTTCGTTTATACATTAATTGCTGTTTTCTACTTCGTTTGATTTAACGATTTATTATTACTATTATCTGGAATAATTAAATGTTTATCTATATCAATATTTTCTCTTATCTGCTATAACGAATGGATCGTTGAACACTTTTGCAAATATTTCGAACACATTTTCTCCTTTGGAAATGCTTTAAGTGTTTTTATCTATAGTACTATTATAATCTCGGGTTCATCCCATTCAATTTTGAATACTTTACAAACAAGCTTTCAAATATATTGAGCAAAAACACCAATTGAACATAATATATTTTTTCTATATACATTTTAAACAATTATATAAAAAGGGGTGGCACTCTTTTTTGACACTCAAAAAGTGTTCCCTAGGGTAAAAGATCTCACTTTATTGTGAGATCCAGAGGGCATTTTTCTTTGAAGTTGCCATGAATAAATTATATACAAGATACTCGTTAATGTTCATATAGAGTAACCTGAAGCAAATTTATTATTCGTAATTATATTTCGCATTGAAAACTCATGAGCTCAAATCAAGAAGCGTTCAAAATGCAAATATCCTACGTTGTGATACGATCATTGATGACCACAAAGTTTTCGGTTAAGTATATATACATTCTAATACGTAATACTCCAACCATCTTTTAAGGTTGTTTACAGCAAAGGTTTATAGCAAAATATATATAGACCTAGTTCCAAATCCTTCGTTTGGCGTTGTTCTGCAGATTTAATTTTGACCGTTATAGCAATAAATCACGCGTTATACATCTTATACAAATTTATTATGAGTCATGGATGTTTACTGTAGATGAATCTACATTATCAACCTTTTTTGCATTATATCAAATTTTTTATTCTTAATATTTCAGAATAAAATCTTTTGTTTATTCAATTATACAAGTAATATTTTTATAATGTTCAATATTTAGATGATATTATGGATATTGAAAGATTTTCAAAAAAATTCAGATTATTTATCAAATTTAATCAATCCATTATTCATTACCCCTATATATCTATATCCTATTTAACATTCGTGCCTAAAGCTCACTTTTGGTCTTGTTTTTTGACAGGGTTGGCCGCATAAATATCTGAGATAAAAACTACGTATGAAATTGGGATGTGGTATAACGGTTAAAAACGCCGGATTGGCTTTATTTTTGGGGTTCCGAGTTCGAACTAAGTGCCACATATTTTTTTATATTTGAAAAATAAATAGAAGATTGCTATTAGTAATGTTGTAAACAGAAATTCATCAAAAGTGACACCTCAGAAAAGCTAAAATATTGAATTTTTGGAACTTTTGATAGAGCACGTTTTTAAATATTAATTAAAGTAAATGTATATTTTGTAAAGATTCTTTTTAATAAAAAATATAATTTTGAAGAAGAACACAAAATCTTCTGAAAAATAATATCACATAAACTCATATTATTTTCTAATATATAACTATTTTATATAAAAATCAAATTCAATGATCTTCAAAGCGAAGGATAGACCTCAAAATTTACGAATATAATGAGTGGGAATATAATGCTTATCTATCATAAAACCATATGAAATATCAATTTTTGCTTTACGCCTAATTTTTGACGACAATTAGCAAAAAATGTTAAATGTTAACACTCAGTCCATTTGAATATGAAAAATAAAATTGACTTTGATTAAATGTTTTTATTTATCATGCAATTCTTCTTGCGACCAAAGATTTGAATAAAAGTTCAAAAAATAAGATAGCTTAAAAAATAATATACGGTAGTGTTTACTAATAGATGAATAGTATATAAATTCTATTAAAATGGATTTGAACCAAAAAATATAAAACCAAAAATAATTGTTATAATTTAAATGAAGAAGTAATTTAAAACGATTTTATTTATGATCAAATTTTATATATTTTTTTGGATCAAATCCATTTTAATAGAATTTATATACTATTCATCTATTAGTAAACACTACCGTATATTATTTTTTTAAGCTATCTTATTTTTGAACTTTTATTCAAATCTTTGGTCGCAAGAAGAATTGCATGATAAATAAAAACATTTAATCAAAGTCAATTTTATTTTTCATATTCAAATGGACTGAGGTTAACATTTAACATTTTTTGCTAATTGTCGTCAAAAATTAGGCGTAAAGCAAAAATTGATATTTCATATGGTTTTATGATAGATAAGCATTATATTCCCACTCATTATATTCGTAAATTTTGAGGTCTATCCTTCGCTTGAAGATCATTGAATTTGATTTTTATATAAAATAGTTATATATTAGAAAATAATATGAGTTTATGTGATATTATTTTTCAGAAGATTTCATTCTATATGCCTATGAAAAGTACTCTCAAAACTAACTTTTTCCTAATTATAATTAAATCTAGAATATTGTATTATGCTTAGTATTATTTCATTTTTCTCATTCAATTTAGAATTTACAAATGTCAAAAAATTGAGAGCTGTCACTTTTGATGAATTTCTGTTTATTACAGTAACAAACAATTAAGCTGTTTTTAATCACATATATGAATAAATTAAGATTGCGAATAACTATAATTTGCTTTTGACATAGATTTGTTAATATGAAGCAATTGAATGTCCTTAAGTTCACTATTCATACCAAAGGACCTATGCAATCTTGGTATAACTGAACTATTCATACCTTAACATTTAAATTTTCGGAATTATTCTCCATTGTTATAGGTTGGAAAGTGATTACAAACATAAAACGTATTTTAAGATAGGTAGATACAAATAGACTGTAAAATACAAATAACATAAAACAATATTCTAAAAAATCTTTATTCTCGTGAAAATATTCATTGAATATAACATGTATCTAATGGTTCATTTGAATTTAATATAATGCAAAATTGAAAATTATTGAGAATAATTTCCAAATATACTATTATTCATAATTTTAGATCTAACTATGAAATTAGGTAATACAATGGTATTTATTGTAGGTTTTTATGTTTGTATTGTACTAAATCAAAAATATAAGAATTTTTTGTTAAATTTATCGGGAATCCATCATTTAAGTTTCATTTATCTATGCACACATGCTAATATAGAAAAGACTATTTAAATGCGTATATCTAAAATAGGTTAATGTAAACCAATAGAGTAATTGAGGTAAATGTTTTGCAATTTTGAAATTTACTCATGTTTATGTTGCAATGCGATATTATTCATATAGTACCAGATCTTATGATAATAATAATCAAAATTATTTGAACAAATAATGAGATTGGTAAAAATTTGGATTTTGACACACTGCTTCATAATTTTATTATATACAAAAGAATTTCAAGTGATTATCAATATTTATTTCTCAATATTGTTTAAAATTTAAAGATCAAAGTTCACTTTTTTTGAATTAAGGAATAAAAAATCTTATAACTGTTTTGTGAGTCGATTTTAATATAGCTTCAAATATTATTTTACAAAAATATGCGAAATTAAATACGAAATTATTAATCTTTGATCAAATACCAAATTGATTATTATTTAATTAATTGTTGGTGATAATACAATTCATTGATATAGCGAAAAAAGAAAAAATAATATGCATTCGGATTCGAACCTGGGTTTTCCGACCCCAAAAATAAAGCGACTTACCAAATGAGCCACATGATATTTTCATTCAATTTTTATTTTTAACTATAAGAATTTTCACAAAACTTGCTTGTCTCCAAATCTACCATCAGCTACATAATTGAACAAAACTCACAACGCCAAAGAGTAGCTTAATACTATACATTTCAATGTATGGTTTACTTCATTTTCAAAAATTATTACATATTTTTCAATTAACGATTTTTTCCCAAATGACTTTACTCACAAAACTGACCCATTTATATCGCTTATTACTGACTTACAAAGTCGAAAACACAAGTTTTTGCCGTCTTCAGAACATATGATTTAATAACGGATATCATTTTTAAACAGATGTGTATCTATTAATGAATACTTTCATTAAATCTCTTACTGCAGAGGAAGAATACGGGTCTAATATGGCCACAGAGACATGTGTCAGATTTTGAATTTTTTTAGATTTCAACACGGTTTTTCCGTATACTGTAAATTTTTATTTTATTACAACTTTCGTATTTTTAGCTAAGTAACATACATTCAAATGACGCATTAATAGATAAAATAAAATCTTTATTCTAAAAATATTGGGAATTTCTAAACAACACATGAACAAATTGTATTTGAACAATTATATAGCACAAATGCATATGATAAGAAGTTAGAACAAAGAATGAAAATATTGATAATTTACTTTAAAGTGAAGATTCCAATCAAAAACTAATAGTATCTATATAATTCGAACAATACAATTCTTTTCGAGATTGATTCTGAGAAATTTTACAACATTTTCTTAGCAATCAGATATCGAATTCATAGAACGAGTGAAATTCAATAATGCCATATATGATATTGCTATGCTTCATATGCTAAGCCTAATGCGTACTATTTTGGTCGATGATTACGTATAGATCGGAGTGCACCGCCTTTTATATATCAATTATAACATTATCAATCAATTTTCTGCTTGTTGAATTTAATAACCTAATTTTGAAAAACACTCATTTACGACTTTTTGTTAGGGGTACTATGTAAGCAAAAAATATGGAAATGTGTAATTCGTTAGTATATGATTATTTTTGCATCAAATGCTGATCATCATTTGAATTTAAAATTATCGTCGCAAGGGAATTACGACATTCACTTCAAATTTGAAATTTTAAATGGAAAAAGTTTTATTGGTGCAAATTCCTGGAAAATGGGTATCAAAAGATTTGATTATTCCTCCTAGGGATGCTACAGATGAAGATGCTAAATCAATAAAAGACTTATTGAAACCGCAAGTTGGAAATGATCTAACAAAAGTCAATATTTTAATAGCAACAATGCCTGCAACAGAACCTACATATGATGTTAATCAAGCCGAGAAAGGACTTGCTCCAATTAAAGGTTCGAAATCTCCTTTTTCATCTGTTGTTTTCCAAGGAATCCGATCAGGAAGGAGATCAGCTATTGTTCCATGCATTGTATCAGATAGTAAATGAGATAACTTCATTGCTTCAGAAAATGGAAAATATTATATTCCAACAGAAGATTTCGCAAAAGCTGAAGTATATTTAAGACTCAAAGGCTGTGGTATGTGGATTGAATCCGATCCTGTTCCATTCCCTGGTCTTACCCTCCAAAAATTAAATTCATCATGGTATCCAGAAGTAGATGCACAAGAAATAAGAGGTGTTGCATTTCCACGAACAGCAGCAACAGAGATTTATTCAACAAACAAAATCCAAGAACGTTTATCTCAAATTGGAGTCGAAACAGGAAATAAATCACTTGGATTTTGGATTTATGACGGCGTTGAAGGCGATCCAGCACCAAAGATTGATAAATGTGTTGTTATTATGAAGACACTTGGTGACAGACGCCTTGAAACTCATCTTTTGATGGGAATTGAAGAAGTTATTAAATTAATTGACGACAAAACATCAAAATCTATTGTTGATTCATTAGAAACTGTGTTTAATAAGCATTCTATTCCTATTTTCAATGATAATACAAGCGCAATTGATTATGTTCATAAAATTGAATCAAATATTAAACACAGAATTAGAGAAACCATTCCAAATTTGGATTCATTACATTTGTATAAAGACGATGTATTCGATTCATGTGGTTTCATTGATCCAAATGAATTTTTAGATATCAAAATTAATAATTTCCACAAATTTGTTGAATTATTTAGAATTATTGGCCACGAATGCGGCCGAATCATTTCCTGCATTCATCGTCAAGGATTTCTATGGGGTACATATGCAGATCACGATTTCTCTGAGTTACATTGCAATGCACATCCAGATAATTTTGTTATTCTTCGCAAAGTTAATGAAAATTTGTTGTCTCCTGTTGATTTCGACATGTCCTTTGAAGCCAGATGTTCTATTAATTTCTGGGATCTCAACAAGGATGAACTATCTACATTCATGAATATGGAAGCAGAGTTTACTAATTTACTTGGTGATTTGTGCGGCCATTCTGCATTGTCTCAGTATGGAAGTACTGCTATTAAGAAGAGAGAAAGACTTCATGGAAATAATCATATTATTTTGGAAGTTTTAAGAATGATTCTCGTTTATGAATATGTTCAATCTTACGATTTGCCTTCAAGGAAAATTAAGGAAATTGTCGATCAAGGAGTGTTGGATGTCGTGGAAATGGCTCTGAAACAAACAGAGAATATTCAATCTTAATAAAAAAAATTAAATTTGCTTTTTTTTTGCCTTCAAGGAAAATTAAGGAAATTGTCGATCAAGGAGTGTTGGATGTCGTGGAAATGGCTCTGAAACAAACAGAGAATATTCAATCTTAATAAAAAAAATTAAATTTGCTTTTTTTTTTGCCTTCAAGGAAAATTAAGGAAGGGGTATTATTATTGTCGTCTGGCGGTTTTAGACGACAATGCGAATTTTCAAATAATAGGATTTTTAGCCAGATAAAGAGCTACTCCATATATCATGCGTGTTTGCATACTATATACATAGATGGAATTGATGTTCTTCCTTTATTTAGGTACCGAAACATGCTTGAAAAATCTATTTTTTAGACGACAATGATAATTTTGTCACTTTTCCAGACGACAATAATAATTTGTCACCTTTTTAGACGACAATAATAATTTTGTCACTTTTTCCAGACGACAATAAAACATCCTCATTAAGGAAATTGTCGATCAAGGAGTGTTGGATGTCGTGGAAATGGCTCTGAAACAAACAGAGAATATTCAATCTTAATAAAAAAAATTAAATTTGCTTTTTTTTTGCCTTCAAGGAAAATTAAGGAAATTGTCGATCAAGGAGTGTTGGATGTCGTGGAAATGGCTCTGAAACAAACAGAGAATATTCAATCTTAATAAAAAAATTAAATTTGCTTTTTTTTTGCCTTCAAGGAAAATTAAGGAAATTGTCGATCAAGGAGTGTTGGATGTCGTGGAAATGGCTCTGAAACAAACAGAGAATATTCAATCTTAATAAAAAAAATTAAATTTGCTTTTTTTTTGCCTTCAAGGAAAATTAAGGAAATTGTTGACCAAGGAGTGTTGGATGTCGTGGAAATGGCTCTGAAACAAACAGAGAATATTCAATCTTAATAAAAAAAATTAAATTTGCTTTTTTTTTTTGCCTTCAAGGAAAATTAAGGAAATTGTCGATCAAGGAGTGTTGGATGTCGTGGAAATGGCTCTGAAACAAACAGAGAATATTCAATCTTAATAAAAAAAAATTAAATTTGCTTTTTTTTTTGCCTTCAAGGAAAATTAAGGAAGGGGTATTATTATTGTCGTCTGGCGGTTTTAGACGACAATGCGAATTTTCAAATAATAGGATTTTTAGCCAGATAAAGAGCTACTCCATATATCATGCGTGTTTGCATACTATATACATAGATGGAATTGATGTTCTTCCTTTATTTAGGTACCGAAACATGCTTGAAAAATCTATTTTTTAGACGACAATGATAATTTTGTCACTTTTCCAGACGACAATAATAATTTGTCACCTTTTTAGACGACAATAATAATTTTGTCACTTTTTCCAGACGACAATAAAACATCCTCATTAAGGAAATTGTCGATCAAGGAGTGTTGGATGTCGTGGAAATGGCTCTGAAACAAACAGAGAATATTCAATCTTAATAAAAAAAATTAAATTTGCTTTTTTTTTTGCCTTCAAGGAAAATTAAGGAAATTGTCGATCAAGGAGTGTTGGATGTCGTGGAAATGGCTCTGAAACAAACAGAGAATATTCAATCTTAATAAAAAAAATTAAATTTGCTTTTTTTTTGCCTTCAAGGAAAATTAAGGAAATTGTCGATCAAGGAGTGTTGGATGTCGTGGAAATGGCTCTGAAACAAACAGAGAATATTCAATCTTAATAAAAAAAATTAAATTTGCTTTTTTTTTGCCTTCAAGGAAAATTAAGGAAATTGTTGACCAAGGAGTGTTGGATGTCGTGGAAATGGCTCTGAAACAAACAGAGAATATTCAATCTTAATAAAAAAAATTAAATTTGCTTTTTTTTTTTGCCTTCAAGGAAAATTAAGGAAATTGTTGACCAAGGAGTGTTGGATGTCGTGGAAATGGCTCTGAAACAAACAGAGAATATTCAATCTTAATAAAAAAAATTAAATTTGCTTTTTTTTTTGCCTTCAAGGAAAATTAAGGAAATTGTTGACCAAGGAGTGTTGGATGTCGTGGAAATGGCTCTGAAACAAACAGAGAATATTCAATCTTAATAAAAAAAATTAAATTTGCTTTTTTTTTGCCTTCAAGGAAAATTAAGGAAGGGGTATTATTATTGTCGTCTGGCGGTTTTAGACGACAATGCGAATTTTCAAATAATAGGATTTTTAGCCAGATAAAGAGCTACTCCATATATCATGCGTGTTTGCATACTATATACATAGATGGAATTGATGTTCTTCCTTTATTTAGGTACCGAAACATGCTTGAAAAATCTATTTTTTAGACGACAATGATAATTTTGTCACTTTTCCAGACGACAATAATAATTTGTCACCTTTTTAGACGACAATAATAATTTTGTCACTTTTTCCAGACGACAATAAACATCCTCATTAAGGAAATTGTCGATCAAGGAGTGTTGGATGTCGTGGAAATGGCTCTGAAACAAACAGAGAATATTCAATCTTAATAAAAAAAATTAAATTTGCTTTTTTTTTGCCTTCAAGGAAAATTAAGGAAATTGTCGATCAAGGAGTGTTGGATGTCGTGGAAATGGCTCTGAAACAAACAGAGAATATTCAATCTTAATAAAAAAATTAAATTTGCTTTTTTTTTGCCTTCAAGGAAAATTAAGGAAATTGTTGACCAAGGAGTGTTGGATGTCGTGGAAATGGCTCTGAAACAAACAGAGAATATTCAATCTTAATAAAAAAAATTAAATTTGCTTTTTTTTTTGCCTTCAAGGAAAATTAAGGAAATTGTTGACCAAGGAGTGTTGGATGTCGTGGAAATGGCTCTGAAACAAACAGAGAATATTCAATCTTAATAAAAAAAAATTAAATTTGCTTTTTTTTTGCCTTCAAGGAAAATTAAGGAAGGGGTATTATTATTGTCGTCTGGCGGTTTTAGACGACAATGCGAATTTTCAAATAATAGGATTTTTAGCCAGATAAAGAGCTACTCCATATATCATGCGTGTTTGCATACTATATACATAGATGGAATTGATGTTCTTCCTTTATTTAGGTACCGAAACATGCTTGAAAAATCTATTTTTTAGACGACAATGATAATTTTGTCACTTTTCCAGACGACAATAATAATTTGTCACCTTTTTAGACGACAATAATAATTTTTTCACTTTTTCCACAAATAAAACATCCTCATTAAGGAAATTGTCGATCAAGGAGTGTTGGATGTCGTGGAAATGGCTCTGAAACAAACAGAGAATATTCAATCTTAATAAAAAAAAAATTAAATTTGCTTTTTTTTTGCCTTCAAGGAAAATTAAGGAAATTGTTGACCAAGGAGTGTTGGATGTCGTGGAAATGGCTCTGAAACAAACAGAGAATATTCAATCTTAATAAAAAAAATTAAATTTGCTTTTTTTTGCCTTCAAGGAAAATTAAGGAAATTGTCGATCAAGGAGTGTTGGATGTCGTGGAAATGGCTCTGAAACAAACAGAGAATATTCAATCTTAATAAAAAAAATTAAATTTGCTTTTTTTTTGCCTTCAAGGAAAATTAAGGAAATTGTCGATCAAGGAGTGTTGGATGTCGTGGAAATGGCTCTGAAACAAACAGAGAATATTCAATCTTAATAAAAAAAATTAAATTTGCTTTTTTTTTTGCCTTCAAGGAAAATTAAGGAAGGGGTATTATTATTGTCGTCTGGCGGTTTTAGACGACAATGCGAATTTTCAAATAATAGGATTTTTAGCCAGATAAAGAGCTACTCCATATATCATGCGTGTTTGCATACTATATACATAGATGGAATTGATGTTCTTCCTTTATTTAGGTACCGAAACATGCTTGAAAAATCTATTTTTTAGACGACAATGATAATTTTGTCACTTTTCCAGACGACAATAATAATTTGTCACCTTTTTAGACGACAATAATAATTTTGTCACTTTTTCCAGACGACAATAAAACATCCTCATTAAGGAAATTGTCGATCAAGGAGTGTTGGATGTCGTGGAAATGGCTCTGAAACAAACAGAGAATATTCAATCTTAATAAAAAAAATTAAATTTGCTTTTTTTTTGCCTTCAAGGAAAATTAAGGAAATTGTCGATCAAGGAGTGTTGGATGTCGTGGAAATGGCTCTGAAACAAACAGAGAATATTCAATCTTAATAAAAAAAATTAAATTTGCTTTTTTTTTGCCTTCAAGGAAAATTAAGGAAATTGTTGACCAAGGAGTGTTGGATGTCGTGGAAATGGCTCTGAAACAAACAGAGAATATTCAATCTTAATAAAAAAAATTAAATTTGCTTTTTTTTTTTTGCCTTCAAGGAAAATTAAGGAAATTGTTGACCAAGGAGTGTTGGATGTCGTGGAAATGGCTCTGAAACAAACAGAGAATATTCAATCTTAATAAAAAAAAATTAAATTTGCTTTTTTTTTGCCTTCAAGGAAAATTAAGGAAGGGGTATTATTATTGTCGTCTGGCGGTTTTAGACGACAATGCGAATTTTCAAATAATAGGATTTTTAGCCAGATAAAGAGCTACTCCATATATCATGCGTGTTTGCATACTATATACATAGATGGAATTGATGTTCTTCCTTTATTTAGGTACCGAAACATGCTTGAAAAATCTATTTTTTAGACGACAATGATAATTTTGTCACTTTTCCAGACGACAATAATAATTTGTCACCTTTTTAGACGACAATAATAATTTTGTCACTTTTTCCAGACGACAATAAAACATCCTCATTAAGGAAATTGTCGATCAAGGAGTGTTGGATGTCGTGGAAATGGCTCTGAAACAAACAGAGAATATTCAATCTTAATAAAAAAAATTAAATTTGCTTTTTTTTTGCCTTCAAGGAAAATTAAGGAAATTGTCGATCAAGGAGTGTTGGATGTCGTGGAAATGGCTCTGAAACAAACAGAGAATATTCAATCTTAATAAAAAAAATTAAATTTGCTTTTTTTTTTGCCTTCAAGGAAAATTAAGGAAATTGTTGACCAAGGAGTGTTGGATGTCGTGGAAATGGCT